AAGATAATTATTCAAAAGTATTCAGTGTCATAACTACATATTTGACGTTTATAAAATCAAACCGTTTGAAAATCGGTTAAAAATTTAGCACGTTATGGCTATTTAAAAATTACATGTTTTACTATCAACACCATATTTTGGGTGAGCGAGCAGCCTGTGGTAAGATGGCCGCCATATGCGGACGTTCGACTCCGTTGGCCAGCAACGCAGACGAGACATCTAGTCATTCTATAGATATCTATGTTATAGCCACTTACAAGCAGGAAGTCTACTGTGGGCCCGGAAATGACGCTCTCGGAACTCGGACATTCGGATTTGGTGATAATTAAGGACACACATCAGATATCAGAGACACAGCAGCACATTGCCAAGTCTTCACTCACAGTGGGACATCTCTCAATAGATCCTCATGCACACATGCAAGTGCGCACTCTTATTTAAAATACAGTCATATAAACAGGATATCTTTAAACATAATTATCGATAATAAGAAACATTTAATGTCCAGTATATAAAATAGCTATGTAAATCATACCATGCCCTATATGACAAGTAATATTACTACATTAAATATTATTACAGTAATATTACTACTTCCAGGGTCAAACAAACCCTTTTCTAAAAAAGATCCGACGTGATGCGTAGTTTTCCCTACCAAAAAGCGACCTTCGACTTAAAAGCGACAATCCGACGTTTAAGCGAGCAACGCTTTTCAACACCGCGACGATCCGACGTTTTCGCGAATAAAACGCGATGCTTCGTAATGGAACGCGATCTAATTGCAACCATCCGCCGTTTATGCGACGTATTGCCGACGTTCTTGTGCTGACAGGTTACTTGTCTAGGCTGATTCATACTTCTCCGTACGCGTACTAGCGGACATGTTCGCTCGAACGTTTATGACACGTTTGACGTCATTGTGCGCTTCCGCGGACGAATGCCTGCTGCACTGGCGCAGCGATGTACGCATAACTCTGTACGCATTGTACGTGATTGATTCTCTAGCGTCTACTTTAAATACCTACATGGAAGATTTTAACAAGCGTTAGGGTAGTTTGCAAACCCTACAGACTATTTACAAGGTAATAAAACTGTTACATACATGTAAATGCGTGTGCACGTGTGTGCAGACTTGTCTGGAATTGAACATCTCACGCCAGCCAGCTGACCAAAGTTGGTAACCCTGTGAGCTTTCATCTTATATATGTATGCGTAATCAATACATTTAAGGAGATGATTGGCATTCATAAAAGTCTTCATAATTACTACTGTATGTTATAAGCATATTGTTGTACGGAGCCCGGATAGCTCAGTCGGTAGAGCATCAGACTTTTAATCTGAGGGTCCAGGGTTCAAGTCCCTGTTCGGGCGAACGATATTTTTTTGCTTCCTGTACTGCTCTTAATACACATAAATGTTAATTTAATATAACACGTGGTATAAAGACCCGTAGGTTCTCACGCACAACTATTTTTACGTTTTTAATAAATTAAAAGCAAAATTTGCAACAATCCTACGGTTTACCCTGCTCTCGGGGTTCTTCAAGAATCGGGGGTTAGGGTATTTTCATTTAATTTTGACGCAGAAGTATTTGGGGGTGGCTATGGAAAAACGAGGAAACGAGTTCGGTACGGAAAAATTGCTGTAGGCTGTTCCTGATGAGATTTAGCCTGTAATGAGCTTCCTGTCTACTGCGGTGTAGAGTGATTTTGTCTTTAATCCACAGTAAAAAAATATGTTTGACTCTTTTTTGTCGTCTCCCCGTGGTGTTTGATGCTTTATTTAGGAAACGATGTAACGATATAAAGAAAATGTAAAAAAGTAAAAATCGGCGAAAGGCTCCGATGAGCACTAATAAAACCTCGAGACTGTAAAGGCTTTTAGGTGATATACATCCCTAGATCAAGTCACGCGCCTGTGAGCTGCTGTGACACAAGTACCGTGGTACAGAACTTACGGCTTTAAATGGCTCGACTGCGTTCACAAAATCTTTTTTTTTAAAGGTTGACGTGATTGGATGCCTGAATAGCGCAGAGCGCATTAAGCTGCGGTTTACAGAACGTTACAGTTAAAAATTAAACATCTGCCGTATGTAGATAAAATAAGCCGTTAAAGGTTTTAATGTAAGCAACGACCCTTTTTTTCAAACAAATTAGATAACATGTGTGTGCTGTCTGCGTTGATTTCATGCCTTGCTTAAGAAGCGTTATGCGTTGTTTTTATTTATATATATATTTTGTATTATTCTTATATTTTTATCGTTTTGAAAATGTGTCATATTACTACTTCCTGAAAATAATTTGTGTGTTTCAGTCTACATTACAGGCACTTACTGTACGAAGCTTAATTCAATTTATCTGTAGCTACATTTTTCCTGTTTTCTTTGATCCATGACGTGATCTTAATGGTCCTTGCCTTTCTCACTGTTTTCTGGTCTCATCTACCGAGCCCAAGCCCCCCACACACACACAGACGCACGCACGCACACACAACACACTCTGTCCTCAGACCACACCCCCTCCTCCTGCCTGTATCTCTGCCCGTCTCCATCTGCCTTGCTAACACTTCTCTCTCTGTCTGAACTGGGGCAGCCTCATTCTCTCCTCCAGGATGTCGGGCCCTCTGACCAGCGCAGCTTTCCTCCTGCTCCAGCTTGTCCTCCTGCTCGCCCCAGCGCAACGCCTGGAAGCCAAGGTAAGGAGGGACTGCGCTGGGATCCATGCACGCCGACACGCTCTGCTTACCCAGATGTCTCCGTCATAAGGGCACAGAGGTGGCGTGACAACAATGCGCAGCTGATGGGGAGAGATCCAGCCCTTTTTGCTGTCGGTGAAAATACTTCCCTGGTGTTACGTGGGATGAGAATGGTGTGAGAGGAAGCAGAACTGTATTTCTGCAGTAGATGAAAACTGGCATAAGCATTTAATGGACAGTTTAGTCATGCTGTCTGTTCCTGTCTGTTTGCGCAGCTACTGTAGACCAGGGCTGAAAAAAAGAGATTGGTAGCATAATTGGGATAGTTGGTTTGTTTTGTTGTCAGGTAAATACAGGCACATAAAATGAGCATATGTTGAAAAACAGGACTTACTTCACTTACTGTCATTCAATTGCATGAAAGGGGTGCAGTATATATAAAAATGGGGAACATGTACCATTTTGTGTTCATGTTATGGGTCTGTCTGGTACAGAGCGGTGGGGAGACACAGAGGTGGATGCACCCATTGCTATTGCCAGGCAACAACAGATTTGACAGATGACAAGAGTGGGATGGACTTTGATCAGAATCTTAGTGTTATGAGAGTCAGCACTGATTAAACAGAGGAAGCAGCACAGATGATTATGCATGTGTGTGTGTGCATATCTAGGTTGGAGTAGGGATGTAACTATACTGGGGAAAGGTGAGATGCAGAAGTAGTGCCTAAATAAAGCTTATGTATTGATACATTCATTACATAGAGAGATTAAGGACCATCTGGTAAATATACGTACTCAACTTGAGCAGTGGGTCATACTTAAAAAGGGCAGAGCCAAGCTGTGTGCCTCAGCCATATAAACACTCTCATGCACATAATGGCCACTAGGGACAGTGCCGTGTTTGTTCTTTTCCAGAGCCCCCTTGGCAGCCTTGTATTGTGCCTAAAGAGAAAGGTTTCACTTGAGTAGCTGTTCCCACCACATGAAATCCATGCCAATGCGACATTCATGTGTGTGTGTCATGTAATACACTGTTCTGATTAAATTATCGTCTTATAGGTCTTTCAATCAATGACATCACATGAGCGGAGAGAATGTTTTTTAGAGGCCTGGCTGCAGATTACGGCTCATGGTGTTGAGATTATTTAATATTAATCATATAATAATCATTGTTGCATCTCTCTGTTTGCAAGCATATTTTGTTTTCACAGCTGCCAAATATCTGCTCCTGGAGTAAGATTTATTCGCTGTGCAACATGTGCTACAAAAAAAAAAAAACAAGGGAGGGACAGAGAGGCAGATGTGTGTTTCTTTCACAAGGGGGGGTGGGGGTGGAGAGGAAGTCATGGCGGGCGTCTGACTTTGCAGTCAGCTCACGCCCAGCTCTTCTCTCTCTGTGACTCTGTGTCCCCTGCATCTTGTCATGGCTTATGGTCTTTATCCCATTATGGCTTCTGACTCTGGCAGGTTCCCAAAGAACAAAAAAGGTTAACCTCCTTCATCTTCTGTGCATCTCTATGTTATACTATTTTCTCCAGTAATTATAGTACGTTTAGTATCTTTCAATTCTGAGACAGTCATTTTCAATTTAGAATCAACAATATACTTCATGGGGCTCGTTATACATCAGTATGGTGCAGCAATGTATAGTCCCTATGAGACTCATAACTAATATGGCCATAAATGGGAGATATTTTATTTGTTTTCAGTGAATAGCAGGACTAATGGTCACATAATTCAAGTTGTCTTTTTCAGCACCATGGACAGTTACTTACATGCCTACACAGCAACAAACGCATAGCAGATACATAGCAGTCCATTGCATGTCATGCTGTATTCTGTATTCACATTACCAATTTGTGCTGTTGTTGCAGATTTAAGACTGTCAGAGCATGTGCTGTGGGGCAATAATGCTCAGCCAGCTGCCAGCGTTTTCCAAATGTAGCATAAAGCTTGGTCTTTGGAACTCAAGGTTCTGTGAAATCAATACCTGAGGCAGCACTATTCAATTAGCGAGGGACACACTGCTGGGAACTGGAGAGGAACGCTGCCATGGCAACCTGCTTCTGAGGCCGACCATCGCCATCAGCATCGGCACACCTTCTGCTCTCATAGGTCCCACTCCAGCAGCATCCAGACCTGAGCTGTGCAAAGGCAGGACGTTATACATGGCTCTGCATCCACTGGGGGAAATCTTATCTCCGTCAGTCTACATATTTATGATCACATTATGTCGTCTTTACAGTGCTGCTGGATCCTCTTGAACTCGCTTTCAGAAACCTTTGACAGTGCAGCAAGTAGACTCTGCATAGTAATACAGCTGACATTAGAAACAGTTTTTCATTCGGAGTTGCTTGTGAGTTTAATATGAATGCTTCCCTACTCCTTCTGACAATGAGCAACTAATTAGCCTGTAGGAAATCATGCTGCTACTCAAGGGAAAGTATATATACTCCACAGTAGTATTTAGGCTGCTATTCTGAGGCAGGTGCTGCCTTATACAGCGTATTAAGGAAGCTACCTCCAGCCATTGTGCGTCAATATGAAGTGTTTAAAATGCTGAATTGCAGGAGGGTGGATTGTTATTAGACAGCTATTTTTAACTCTTGACTGATGGGAGAGTAGGCTATAATCAGCAAGCCAGAGTTTCTGACCCGTGCTGGGTAGGCGGGAATGGATGCACCAATAAAGACATTAATAAACGTCGACTAATAAAGAACGAGGCACATTTCAGCCACACAAAGCAATGTCATTGGAAAAATTAGCACACGCAATATTAATAGATGCTAGAGGAGAATGAGGTCTAATGGATAAAATACATATAGAATAATGTGTCCCTTAGGAACAGCAATTACAAATGAATTTAATTAGTCTAAGTAATTCAAAAGTCAAAAATCAGTAACTGCATGGGCAGCTTGATTGTTGTGTCTCAAGATCATTAGAAAACTCCATCTTTCAGGAAATGTTTACCTATTTGTACAACTTCCATAATCAGTCTGCATTAATTCAATGTTCCCTTACTGTGTTCCGCCGTCACAAAATGTCCCTTAAAGTGGGAGGAACATTAGTAGCCCATAATGAAGTCCAATACGAATGAGCTGCACAGAACCCTAGGGGAGCAAACTGCCTAATGGAAAAGGTGGCATATCTTAGTGTTTGGGCGCATGTGGCCACTCCCCCGTATCACCTCAGCGGGGGTGTGAGTGGGGGTGGCAGGGGGGGGCGGCAGAGGGCCGAGGCTGCTGCCTGACTCAGGTGGACAGTCCACACGCACGGCGACCACATGCTAGGATGCGCTGGGGCTTCCACGTCATAATGCGCCACGATGACTCAGCGGCTCGCTGACTCACATGCACGCATACACACACACAGACACACACACATGCAGCAGCACACGCCATTCCTGCACTCGCACATGTCAGCCATTGTTAAGCACCTACAACAGGATCCCCCTTAACTACCCGCGGGCAAAACTCCACCCAATGATTGCAATAGGCTTATTGTGGGCCAGACTGGGGGATGTCAGTTACTCCCAGTGCAGAGAGTTGGCAGAAAGAAAGATAGAGGACAGACAGAAGTTTCACAGCTGTATAATAACCTCACACACCCGAGCCGGAAAAGTCTGAAAGACAAAGGATGACATGCAGCGTAAAGCTGGCCGCAGCTGCACATGTGGACTGGAGGCACGGAGATACTAGTGAATGTGAAACCCAAGTCTGATCAATGTCACCACACCGCCAGTCACCCGCCCTCCTTTGTACATTTGCCAATTAGTCTTGGCTTTTTATGGTCTTCTTTTGTTGAAAAAGACCTTTCCCTGTGAGGGACTGGTGTGCCTGCTCATTAAACGTAACAGGGGGCTTGTTGGAGTTGTGCTCCTCGCCCCCCTTAATCTGAAAAGGTCACTTGGGGATTAGTAGAGAGGAGGGCCACTTGGTATCTGCTACCTGTCCTGTGCTTTGGAGTTTCAGCCTTTGGCCTTCAGATCATTACTCCTCATTGGCCATTTTCCCAGAGCTCTGGTTCCAGGTGCTCCTCAGCTTTGCTGCTCCCATCCTGTACCACCAGCTTCAGCCAATTGCTTGCCTGTGTCACAATCGCCTGTTCACTCCATTTTTTTTTCTCTGCACCCTCGCAGTCAGCGTCTGCACTCCACCGCTCATCTCTTCTCTGCGTCTCCTTCAGACGTTCACCTCAGCCTCACGGCTGAAGACAGCCAGCTTGTGTTAATTCACAAATGCCAGCAAGTGACAGTATGAGTCACCATTAGGGGTCCTGTTACACAAATACTGGCAGAGATCCCCCGTGTCTGCAGTCATGTGAATGATTAGGCATCTTCTGACTCACTCTGCGGTGAAGTGGATATATTCCTTATTGTGTATATGTACGTGTAAGAAAACGCACACCAGTTTTTATACTTTTTTGTAACTTGATTTGTTGATGAAGATCGTCCCAGTGATAGTGATGACAGTGACAGTAGGGGCTGTCTAGATCTGTAAATCTGTCTAATGAATCTCCCACCTCTGAGTCATCCAAAGTTGAGAACCCCCTTCTCCATTATTCATGTGGTTTTTAATTAAACTGACTGAGCTGCCCAGGAAAGTCAACGGTGTTGAATGTAGGCCAGTCACGCAGAGGGCCAGGTTTGCCCTGAGTGCCTCCACTCATCGATCTGCACAGAGCCATGGCCACAGGCTGTAACCACACCGCCTTGATCCCTTCCTCCTTGTGTAGAAAAGCAGCCCAGATAGACTTACGAAACTTCCTCCTGGAGTTGAGAAGTGGATTGAGACCGAAGGACGTTATTAGTGCTGTGAAGAGAGACTTTGAGGAGTCAGCTCGCTGCAGCAGTAGGAGGTCTGAGATGGACCTGGAGGTGGTTAGATGGCAGAAGGCTTCACTCATTGTTCACAAAACTGTTTATAAGCAGAGCCATTGACAGACGGGCTGGAGCGCACACGCACAAAGGCGGTCGCCAAACAAGGACCCTGCATTATTAACACAAGGCTAAAAAATATCCCCCTTATCTGTGTGTTCAGCTAATAGTATAGAGCAATGTCACACTTCTTCAGCTGTGAACCATGTTATTAGTGGAATGGAAAGGTAGCCCGTTACAGGGGTGTTTGTCCGGAAGAGCTGCACCACAAGTCCAAATAACAAGACTGATAAGCACTGATGCTCATGACCCACACAGATCCAGGAGAGCATCATTCATTGCCAGCCAAGGTACTGAGCATCTCAAGGTGCACTCAGCATAGCATATATGTGTTGTGTGTGCGTGTGTGTGTGCCTGTGTTTGCGTGCACGTGGGGCCTTTGTAAGTGACTTGTTTACAAACACGCGGGGGTAGTGTTACTGCCAGACTTCACACTGGGACACATTTAAAGAGGTCAGTGCTGAGTGACATCCGCAGTTTGTGGGCCAGACAGTGACACCAGCTATTCAGGACACTGCACTCACTGACTTAATGAAGCCATAAGGCAGGTGAGCCTTTGAGTGCAGTGCTGCAGTTTACTTCAGTTTGGGCAGTAGGCTGCAGCACAGTCTGTCTTCAACCTTAACCGCAGGGATTCATTGTGATTAAGGGCTCAGTTGATTTATATGGGTGATGCATGTGTGTTGAGGTCACACTGAATGTTCCATGCATATAAGCCAGAGTGACATACAAGCCACATTGTACTTACAATATTCTACCATCCAAGCAGAAACCTTCTGATTTCCTAATCCTAAAATGAACTTTCCGGTAATGAAAATATAGATGTTCATTGTTGATGATCATTATTTTCCATTTGGGTTGTGGATATTTGGACCAACAGTGCTGTCAGTAAAAAACCAGCCGGTTTCTTAAGGCATTTTGTTAATCCCGTTTTAAAGGGAGCTATTTGCTTTGTATCAAGCCTGGTCTTCTGCACTTCTTGTGACGCTAATGCACAAGTCTCACTCTTTGTCTTAGCCACTCTCTAGCACACATGGGGGGCGAAATCTGGATGGTTCAGCTGGGGTCCTGCGCCTCCGTCGTGAGCTTCGTGATTCTCTGCCTTACGAAGCCCAGATGATGTCATATCCACCGGGGGCTGGTATGGAGGGCCAAGGCAACGAGCTCCTCTACCAGCCAGATGGCTGGCGAGGGCAAAGCTTAGGGCAGGCCCTGCAGCGATTGGTAGAGGATGACCGAAGGCGGGACCAGGAGGCGGCGTATCTGGCTGGCTTGCTCCGCCTCCTCAGTGAAGGTGAAGGTAATGCCCAGAGAGCTGGAAAAGGGGGAGAGGAAGAGGACGAAGAAGGCGGGGATCTCCAGGGACCCTACCCACCTGATTATGATGAGACAGAGCCGAGCATGAGCATGACTAAGCCCCAAGCCTCTTGGCAAGGCCTCCTGGACCCTCAGCTGACTCAAGCTCTACTAAACCGCTACCGGCAGGAGAGGCTGCTGCAGGCTGGGCTCACTTCCAGCGGGAACAAGCTGCAGGAGAGCCGCGGAGAGGCAGGAACGGAGGAGAGAGAGGAAGAGGCCCTCAGGTACGGAGACACATTCCTCTGAGGCCCTTTGTACATTAATACATCGACTGTAAGAACAACACGCAGTGCTTTTTGATTATTGAATCAGGAAGTGTCTCTATATCAAATAGTCTAATCCCTCTCAGTTGTTAAACCATTAAGTGAGTATACTTGTAACTATTCCTATAGCTCCACTGAAGCCTAAATTATATCCTGACCTGAGGATTGGCCAGATTACAAATACCGTGTAATTACCTTCTTAAAGTCTTTTTAAATTTGAAATCTAATAAGAGAATGAGGAACCAAGCGGATTTGATACTTGGTTTCTTTGTCATGATGTCATGACACCTGACAATGGCAGAAGCCTCAGTGCTCTTTACCAGCTTGTAGTCTGGTAAAAAAAAGAAAAGGCAACGGGGCAGTTTGTGGGTGACAGTGAATCATTACTTGTCGCAAGACAGTCAGCGGTGAATTTTTAATTTTTAAAAAAAAAGTGAAATTAAAGGGGATCCCTGAACTGCATATAATTTTCCCGCATCCACAACCATGTCTGGAAGGCATGTTTCTTTATAGTGTTGCATGCTGGGAAATTTGGTAATACTTTTTGTGTTGTTCGATATCAATGCAAATTCTGCCCATTTTGCTTTTCATTTTTTATCCAGATATCTCGTTGGAAGAGTACTGTCCACTCTTGCGTCCGAAGCCCCACAGGGCGGCCCTGCCCGCCTCGCCAAGCGGGACCTGGCTGCTGTGAGTGGGGGGGGCCCTGGGGGTGTGGCCCCAAAACGATCCCGCCGCTCGGTCGATTCTGTGCCACTGCAGCCCCCCAACTCAGAACCATCGCTGCTCCGAGTGAAGAGGCTGGAGGACCAGGAGAACAAGATGGCGTCAGCCGTGGCCGGCGGGGTGTCACGGGGCCTGCAAAGAATGAAGCGAATCGACGGCGACCTGCCGCAGGTGAAACACAGCCGCAAGAGGCGAGCCCTGACCTATGACCCAAACGTGCTGGCCCAGCGCATCCTACAGTACCTGCCAGAGTAAAGCAGATGTGGGAGACGCGGGAGAAATGGGAGACGCGGGCGCGTGCGGCTAATGTAACACCACACACACATACACAGTACACCGACATCCGCACACAAAGTATCAGCTTACAAGGAGATAGTCAAAGCTGTCTGCTCCAGGATAAGTTAGCCTCTGCATTTGTTGTGTGTTCTTCTTTTTATTTATCTGAGAATAAATTCACCTGACAATATCCATTGCAGTCTAAAATCAGTAAGCAGCTCAGAAGGAAATGAACTGTCTGACTTTTAAGGGAAAACTGTCCGGTGGTATCGAGAGGTCCTTGAGTGATCCGTGGAAATAATCAAGCTTTTATTATCATTACATTAAATGTGTGAAATTCAGTTGTGTAAAGTGCTGCAGGTCCCTTGTTAGATTTATCCATATGATGCATCAAGCTGTGCCCTAAGCGGGTATGATATGATGTTGAAGGGCAGTTTCGTCCAAAACTAAAATTCCATCCAAAATGCCCATTTAATGATGTCCTTCCCCATTGATCACCTTGAGAAAAAAAAAAGTGAAACTATCTGACAATCCTGGCACCTGTTCCACTAGAAGATCTCTCAGCAGCAAGTGAGGTGAGTGTCACATTTGTCTCTCCCTGCGCTAAACACACTCTGCAGGTCCATCTAAGTGGCACCACCATGGGAGAATGGGATTTTGGGATGCAATGTCCTCTGCGGGCTCTCCACCATGACTCAGTTTAGTCTGGACATTGTGCTTGCCCTTAAATAAACCATCTTCTCCCCTGTTCTTACCTGGTCTTCACTGTGCAGCGGTGCGATTCCATGTCAAATTCAACTTCTCAATTTTCACACTCTAGCCAGGAAACAGTAATGACATACAGATATGAAATGGTCCAGTCAAGAAAAACACACCAAACCCATTACGGTCAACACACAGCATCCAATATACTGTCAGACAGCAGAATAATCTCAAGCATTAGCAGATGACAACATGGGAGCCATTTAACACGTGCTTCTTTTGCTGATCGCTTAATGGTTTCTGGAAAGTTCTCAGCGAGATAGGTAATGAAAAACCTTGTAAGGTGGCATTAACATGATGAAGGTTTCCTCCAGTTACATTGCAGGCCCAAGAATTTATTGGATAATAAAAAAAAAATATATTAAAAAAAAATAATAAAAATTTTGTGGGTAAATGTATTCGGGAGTCTATCCTGGCCTGCGCTGTTCTCCCGAAATGCCGAACTGCTTTCTCGCACAGTTACCAATGCTACATCCATATTGCATCTTTAATTCGGAGAGCTGTCCGTGTCCATCCTACACAGATCCCCTTCTCCTCATTCTGTTGTAGTAGTTTTGTGGACAGAAAGTCAATGGTTCCAGTTATTGTGGCTGTTTAAAATAATTGTGCATTCTGAAGTTTTGGAGGAAAAAAGATATTTCATAAACTCTCCACAGACTGAATCACAGTATATTGTGATGACGTGCTATTTATGACTTTCTGTTTGCTGTTCTTGGTCCAATTTGCTTTTAACTGACACTGCTGTTTTCTGTTAAATGTGAGGTAAATAAATGGCCTTTAATTGCAAGCATGCTGATTCTGCGGAGTGATGATGTTATTGCACTAAAACAAGGAAAATAAATGCCGGACAAATTATGTGTTTTCACCTGTTTTAATGGCAACATGGCCGATATTTACAGAATCATTCTTACAACACGGTCCCTTCAAAATTTTACAAGGTGCCAGAAATCAGAAAAATAATGAATATTTACATATTGAAATGTCTGCATATAAACATGACACATATGGTAAAATGCATACAAACATGGCAAGAACAGTATAAGCAGATGTCTAAAGACCTTACAACCAATAACTCAATAATAATGAGAATGATCCATGATCACTGTCCATTCTTCACTGGTGCTGTACACCCATCACTGAAAAGGCCATGACAACACATACGACTGTACTATAATTCTATAATGACATCGAAATTGGGTTGAATAGTTTGGATAGCAAACATAAGCACAATATCAAACAAAATGACTGCCAAGAGCAACAGAATCTATGTCTCTTTCCATCAGACAGGGAGTAATTGGACTATGATTACAGTCTATGGTATCTTTTTGTTTATATCCCTATAATTAGTGAGCTGAGTTTAACCTGTTAAAATCCATCCAGTAATTAAACATCAATTGTGTAGACTAATTACATACTCTATTATTCTTGTCATATTAAACAATGACAAGGATTGAGTTCTGACATACAAAGTACAACAGCAATCATCTTCTAATTTCAAGCCAGTTACATATCAGAAGACATGAAATAATGAAAATCACAACAGCTGCACAAAAAATGCAGGACCCTTCATACAAAAACAACTTAAGCTAAATAGACAAGACACTTTGTATGAAAATATATATCCATGACTTAGACCAAAGAATGTGTGTCTGCTGTTTTGGCTGATTTGTTGTGCACATTCTAAAAAAAGATTAACATTGAAAGGAACAAAACAACAATCAATTTACTCTAGGTAAACAGGAGGGTTGTTGATAATGTTCTACCCTGCAGGGTGGAAACAAAGCACAGCAGGCCATAAAACTCAAGAACTATGCCTGTCTCTCAGCCCGAGAAAAAAATAGAGATGCTGTTGCCAAGCAACAGTATCCATTCTGAGAGATTATATAACTAGATAATACAGATGATGTCATGCTTCGGGGGATGAGGTTATAGGACTATTTCTCCTCCTGTTTCTCCAAGTAAAGAATTGAGTGACGTCAACGGTGAGCCTCCATCTGAAAAACTCAAGAGGAAAATGGTGACACTCAGGGGGAAATAAGAGGCAGCAGAGGTGCAGAGGAGTGTGATGGAGACAGACAGCAGGGACAGCAGTATGTCATAGAAATGACACTGACCCACAGTTATGTAATAAGCAACCTAATAACACCCTGTGCAAGCATCAGACCATGAAATTCTAGCCGTAAATCGACCAAGAAACAGCTGCTTATTTTACAAATTTAATTACTTTCATGAATAAAAAATTAAAAGTGCATAGAGACCTCATTCTGGGCAATAAATATTTTACTAGCTAAATATTCAAAATTATAAAATAACATTCCCCAGTCCGATAAACTCCAAACACTCAATTCTAATAAATGGCAATGCTTTACATTAACTGCACCTTAATAATGCATTCATTATGCATTCATAGAACATTCAGTGCACCTTCATAATACATTCATAGCATATTCATAAGCAGCATGTAAGTATACCTTTACATCCTAACATATCTTAAGAGCTTTAATTTATATTAATAATAAACATTTATAATATTATATGAATTATAGTGTGTGTTCATAATGTACATTAAATATTCTCCAAATACATTATAAAGGCATTATGGATGTACGGTTAATGTAAAGCTTTACCTAATATTTCATACTTATTTTGAAAGGTATAGATCTGATAAATCAGTATTGATCAATACCACTTAACTTCTGAGTAAAAAGGATAATCCACTGTTGAAAATTTGATGGCTCTCTTAAAGAATGCACTGGAAATAAATATCCTTGCCATTTTTTGTGAGACACTACATTTCAGAATCCAGTCATATTATGAAACTTCACGGAAGTACAATGTAAATCTTGAGCATCTGAGCATTAGCTTTATGTGAATTTATTTGGCTTCGGCCTTGACAGTGGAACATACCAATGAACCCTTGATCAGTCCCAGTACTGACACCAGATTGGTCGCTGTTCTGTCCCGCTGTTTGTTTCCAGTGTACTATTGCTTTCCCTTCCAGACAAGGATCTAAGATGAATTTTACCAGCAAGAATATTTTTTATGAATAAAACGTAACCTGTGGTTTCTGTAAGAGAGCCGACATACTAAGTTGCAGTCTTACCTGAGCTCTGCAAGGGCCCTCAGCTCTTACCGTGGCAACAGCAGCCCTGTCACTAGAGAAACAAAGAGAACAAGTGTTACAGACTTGCTCACACTCAGAAGTCAATAGGAGGTCGGCAGAATGCACCAAATTCCATCCACGAGTCCATCTCCCAACTGGCTGGCTGTTTACACTCAGAGCTCTCGTCTGGGGCCCGAGCAGAGCCCCGTCCCTTGGCATGTGGACCCCGAAGCTGAGGCCCTCACCATCCTTGCCGTACTGGGGCAGCAGGGCGTCCTGGCGATTTCCAAGCACGAAGGCCAGGGTGGCCAGTATGGCGGCGTCCAACACTCCCAGCATGGCCAGCACGAAGGCCCAGTGCACAGTACAGTTCCCAGGTGAGAAGCTGGCCACCCCCTCCCCGCACAAGCCTCGCATCTCTGAACAGTCCCAGGAGTCGGGGAAGAGCACACAAGCCAGAGCGAGGCAGAAACCTGCAGGAGAGAGAGGAAGGAGGGCATTATTCACCAAAAAAGGAAAAATTACAGATTTAGTGCTGAAATCAGAATATGGCAGTTTACTATATCTATGGCAAATTGTTATACTGCCCAGTAAATCGCACAAATGATAACATTTTATTAATTCACAAACCATATTTTGTACCCTGTGATCCCTGGGATAGACTCAGCATAACCCTGGATAAGCAGTAAGAGATCAGCAGTGATGGCAGATGGATGGACAATGGATGGGTGGGAGGAGTACTACACATTTACCATTACACACTGGTAACCACCCCCCTCCCCAGCCAAAGTGATCCTAGACCTACAAATGAGTGATCGTCATAGCGACTCCCAAAGCGACCCCCAGTGCGATCCCCATAGTGACTCCCAAAACGACCCCTAGTGCGATCCCCATAGTGACTCCCAAAACGACCCCTAGTGCGATCCCCATAGTGACTCCCAAAGTGACTCCCAGTGCGATCTCCATAGTGACTACCAAAGTGACCCCCAGAGTGATCCTCAGAACGATCCTCAGCCCCAGAGTGACTCCCAGAGCGACCCCCAGAGTGATCGCCATAGCGACTCCCAAAGCGACCCCCAGTGCGATCCCCATAGCGACTCCCAAAGCGACCCCCAGTGCGACCCCCAGTGCGATCCCCATAGCGACTCCCAAAGCGACCCCCAGAGTGATCCTCAGAACGATCCCGAAACCGATTCCCAGACTGATCTCCAGAGCGACTCTCAGAATGACTCCCAGTGTGATCGCAGAGCAACCCCCAGAGTGACCCCTAGTCTTCTCACCAGCCGTGAGCTGCAGCCATGCGCAGATCTTGTACACGGTGGCTGCATTGCAGAAGCGGAAGAGCACGAGGCAGCCGACACTGACCCACACCATGGTCAGCGAGATGCAGACCAGCACAGCCGGCGACTGGAAGGCAGGCAGCGGCGTCAGCGTGGCCAGGGAGCCCCGGCACTCGGGCACCGGCCAGTCCGACTCCAGGCACACCTCGAACAGGCCCAGAGTGCCAGCTGGGGGGGGTGACGCCCCACCTTCATAGTGGAGCTCGCGGGTGCCCACCCAGGAGGGCTGTACCAGAATGACCACCTCAATGATGGCGAAGCAGAGGGTGCAGACGGCCCAGAGCGCGCCCACGGCCCGCGCGCTGCGGATGAACTCCGTCTGGTAGAGGCGGGCCACCTCCACCATCTGGGGCTGCATGATGGTGCCTGTGGGATGGCAGTCAACACACAAGGTCACTCTGTGAGACAACGAGAGCTGCATCCATCCATCCATCCATCCGAAATTGGATAATTGCAACAATGCAGGGCCTCAATTGTTTAGAGTAAAACATTAGATATAATGCAAAATGCCTCTAATAAAACGATTCAAAAATAGACAAGCAGTCGACCCAATGGTGAATCACCCCACCAGTACCTCTGGCTGTACCTCTGTGTTCCTGCTGGAAGGAGCAGGACCTCAAGTCAGAAAAGGAGAAGGAAAAACAGCTGGAGATGGGAGGCACCAAAAAGTAAAAGGCGCAAGAAGTCGGAATTCCGCCAGCTGGATTCAGTGATACGGCGGCAGGCCGCGAGCAGCAGCGCGGCGGGAGAGAGGGATCGTAGGCACATGTGAAAACGGTGAGAGGGGAGGGAAGAGGGGGGAGGCAGAGGGAGAGGGGGGAGAGAGAGGGAGGGCCGCTCGGCCCCTCAGCGGCGGAGGGCTCTCATCACATCATTTCAGTGCTGTGCAGTGATGTGCAGTGATGTGGATTGAAAACAAAACTGGCCACGGGGAGAGAACGAGGATCCATAGCCAGCGCTGCAGTGTCTCACCTCACACGCAGGACAGATCAGGGGGAGGAGGGCGCTACGGAAACAGAGATGATGCTGCATCCACACAGCTGCCGGGCGGGGAGGGGCGGACTGAGGAGATGGAGGGGGAACAGACAGATGCCGCAGGAATAAATCAAGGTTGAGTCACATCCTCTCGCCTGCAATAACACCGCAGCCGCTGCATCCCCCAGCTGAGCAGACATTAATTTCCTCCATTAAATCCTACAGTTTGCGCTTTTTATTCATCAGTAATCTGATACTGAATACAGCAAGCACAAACATTATTAAAAGCACTTTGGCGGAATGGTCAGGGTAAAGAAAAGCATTTATGGAAGTAAAACATAGTCCAGGTATGGGGGGTGAACCAGACATTCTCAGCACTAGGGAGACCCAGCATTTCCTAGGTAAGAAGGATGCCAGACCTGAGGCAAATGCCTGGAAATGAATTTTCACACCACACAGGAATCAGTTGCGGGTAACGCGGGAAGCTGGAAGTACCAAGCAATACTACACAGACATGTACTCCCAGGGATAATATTAGTCATCATTTTTAAACTTATTTCTTGTAAGGTCTGCAATTAATTGTTTTTCTACATACACTATTTTAAGATGTCTGTGATGTGCATGTAAAAAAATCAAATTCACTATAAATGTATAGCATATTTTATAAATATTTTATAAAGTAATTGTCAAAATTTGTCTTAAGTGGTTTAATTGAAGAGTGATGTTACAATTGAAAAACGTGCCAGAATCATACCTTTCAATGCCCCCCTGAATTCTCGCTGACTGAGAGAACTGTTCCAGATATCAGATGTGTCTTGCACCAAGATTCCCATGCTCTTTTAGGGCATCTGATCTACAGCAGCTCAGTGGCCACACACTCGCAGGGCTGGCAACTTGAAGCTGACCTCCCACTCAGTGTGGGCCACCTTTGCATGTCTGTGTGAAATACACAGGGTTCCTCCAGGTTCTCCAGCTTGTATAAGCATCTCCACACACACCACGACATGTGGGTGCCTCAGGATGGATGGCCGCCACATCCATCGTGTCCCCCGCTCTGTACATCCTGGGATGCACTCATTCCTCCCCACAAGCCTGCACTGGGTAAGTACTGATCCCAGAGGATCTCCCATGACAATGATTCTGAGTCCGTATGCTAGACACTATATGTTTATGCATCTGTCCTTTACAGGGTATAGTCTTTATTACCAGGCCGTAAATCCCTTCGATTCAATACATGTTTTTTTCCCATTGATAAAGTTAACGCTGAAGCTACTCCATGCTCTGCCCGTTTCTGCAGCATTGCGAGATTCAGAATAAGCTATCAAACTCTGTAGAGGCTTCACAACTACATACTGGATTATTCTTCACAAAATTCAATTAAGAGGCATGATTAATGTCTAAAATGATAATGTGAAATCTGTTCTGCCAACTTAAGACCATGTCGAACAGCAGATCTGTGCGAAGGAAACTCAAATTAAACTTAACTGGGTAATGTCCTCCTAAGGAAAACCCCCTGGAATGAGCTAGAAAAGACCTTTTGGCCTGTGAAGGAAATACCCACTAAATTGTACAATACAGCTAAGGAAAGCACACAGACATCAGGGAGAAGCCTGTACTGGATAGCAAAACAGGAGATGTGACCAGCTGTATTTGTGCAATAAAAACCAAACCGAGATTGAAAATCATGAAAACGCATGAATGGCAGATAAAAACATTACAAACATTACATTTCAAAATACAGGGTAGTAATGAATGATACAACACAGGACAGTACTTAATACAACAGTGTGCATCAGAAATACTGAAAGGTGATATTAAAGAAACGGTTATAAATTGCCTTTAGAAAACATGTAGAAAAGGTATTATTGCACCATATTGCCGTGATTTTTGCATCGAGATGCCACACGCTCTCCTCAGAAATGAAATATATGCACAAAATAGGATAAGCTTGTAAGAGGGAACATAAATACATTTAAGAAGATTCAACCGAGCTCTGCAAAACATGTTAGAAAAAGGTTTCCAGCTATCGGTGTGTGTCAAGGTGACATGAGTAAAAGTTATGAGATTATAAGAAATGATTTTCTGCTGCTGGTTTGGGCCCCAAGGCCAGATCATTCACTAGTTTACTCTACAGACTAAAGAATGGACAGAATTCAACTGCAGTTCAAGCAATAACTGGATGTGAGCAATTACAGTCATTGTGCCTTTGTGCTACAGTGACTTCACAGCTGAGGCTGTTGATAGTGCTCCTCAACTTTGGCAGCAAACTTCAGGTTTTAGCACCGAAACTGATCGGTATGCACTGACAAAAAGGATGATGACGGAATTAGTCAGCAGAACATGATGGCAGAAACCCCATGATGATATGGTGGGTAGGTGTGTGTGTGTGTGTGTGTGTGTTTGTGTTTGTGTTTGTGTGTGTTTGTGCCTGTGGAGAGGTAGCCCAAGCGAGATCCGAAAATGGCAGATGTGACTCTTTGCTGGAAGCAGCACAGCGACGCCATCACAGGTAAGAGGTCGAGTTTCCTTTACCCCTTTCTCCATGCCAAACCAGGCTGCCCCTCTCTGAGCACTTCCAATCACCCCCCTGCCCCCCCACTGTCCACCTCTCCACAAGGTCTTCTCTGTAATCTCAGTGACTCTCTCCCGTATAAGGAATGTTCTCTCCGAACTTGACCTGATGGGCGGCGTTTTTTGCCTCGTATAGCACCTGCAGATCGCCGTGGAGAGCAGAAGGAGAGAACACCAAATTAAGGGGAGAACAGATAAGAAAAGATAAAATGAAGGCCTCGGACACCATTTAGCGACAAACTTCAGCTGGGCAATATGAATACACCTCTCATCTCTCATCACCTTGTTGTGAACATAAGCCTCGCAGCTGTAGCACCATACAGACAGGTCTGCGAAGCTGAGGACCACAGGGTGTTCTGAAACCAGGCCGTGGGTCACCATATGCTGATTGATATACCGGCCGCAGAGCACCTGCCACAAACAAACAGAAGAAAACGGAACAGGCCGGGATCAAACAAGTGGGCCACTACTGACACATCCCACCACAAAGGCAGTCACATTGTGCACTGCAGCGCGGACCGGAGCAGTGCACCCGAACGCAACAAGCACTGCAGTGCAGACCAGAGCAGTGCACCCGAACGCAACAAGCACTGCAGTGCAGACCGGAGCAGTGTATCCGAATGCAACAAGCACTGCAGTCGTGACAGGGCCCACGGATCACGTACCTTGTAGCAGCTGAGGCAGACCCAGTTCTCTGCATCCGAACCACAGTCTTCACAAGGCAGAAACACATCTATCCCCCCGCTGGGCACCGGCCTGACCGTCTCTAGGTGAGGGCACCATGGCAAGGGGTCCACCACATACATCGTACCCTGGAAAGGGATGGAAACATACCAGCTCAGACACTGTGCTGTAGGGGAGCCTCAACAGGCTGCAAAAAGGCAGGCAACAAGTTTGAGGAAATCAGCTGAGGTTCAGAATAACATTATTTTCCCTTGTTGGCTTTTAAAGAAGCAGAAAATGGCTCGAATGTGTCTAGTTTGTCATATAAAGGACGTAAATAACCCCACACCTCATCTGTCTCCAGGCCTCCAGTAAAGAGCTCAAAGACTGCCCCATCCTTCGGCAACTTTGACCAACCAGACGCCTCGTCCGATTCACCAGGCTCTGGGTTTCCCTTGGCAACAGTAACCATGGCTGGTTCATCGACCAGCTGAGCCCAACAGAAATGCAAAGAACAATGTTTTCAAGACATCATTCACAAAACTTGTGCCATGGACAGAATGCACACTTTCTAAGGACTGAATTACTCACAGGCATAATCATCTTGTCCTGCGGAGGGGTGGAATTGACGGTTTCCATGACCTCTTTCTTTCCTGGTGTCACCTGGGCAGATGGTGGCCCTTTAGCTGGGTTTTCCTGGGAACCAGGCCTCACCTTTCGCCTGGCTCCCCCTACAGGCACAGAGGCTGGGCTGGAGGAACTGTTGTCTAAGTTCAAAGACACAAGGCCCGCCGTGATGTCCTGGAGACCTTCCTCCTGATGGGCAGTCCTGGGCTGCCCTGGTTCCATTGCTTCAGCTGCTGCCGGACTCACAGGAGGAGCACCCTGTTCAGAACCTTTGGCTGGGGTCTCCTGTCTCGGAGACCTCTTGTCTCTGCCACCTGAGACTCGTTTACCCTTTGCTTTGGGCGAAGGCAGAGACAAGCGCAGAGACTCTGGAACTACAAACAGAAGTGGGAAAAAAAAAATCATGCTCAAAATATTTTCCCAGATTATCGACTAAATCTCTGACGTACCATCCAGACATTTTCATGGTTGGGGAGGGGCCGGGGCTAATTCCAACTGACTGAATGCCAGTTGAATGAACTACCCCTTGCTGCAAAATTCCCACTCACTTTGTATTCTCAAAGAACTCCAGTAGAGGGCGTGAGAGCGCAGAACACGGTTGATTGTGACGGAGGCATTGGGATGCGGGGGTGGCAGCGGAGGCAGCAGGGGGAGGCTGTCTCCCAGCAGCGTGCTGGTGCACATTGACATAGACTCGGAAATGGAAGTCAGGTTGTAGCCCCCCTGTGGCAGACAGACATAGAGACACAAGAGAAAGGCGAGTATGAAATTTAGCTCTAATGCTAATCTGCTCCCCAAAATATTTACAATTATTGTGTACATGATAAGGCCAATGAGGGTGTTACACAGTGTCTGTGCACAGCCATGTGAGCAAAGAACACCTTACCTCTAGTATGAGTATGATTCTACCAGCAGCCAGACTCATGAGCAGGTGCGTCAGGTGGGCGTATCCCTCTGGAGTCACATGGTATCCCCCCAGGGGGTCACCACGGGCCGCATCAAAACCCGCAGACAACAGCACCAGTTCTGGGTCAAACTGGCGGGGGTACAGTGAGGAGCTATGTCACGTGCTAACAGACGCAAAAAAGGGCACAAACAGCAGCAATGACAGTAACCAGGCACGTCCCGTGTACTGGCACTTATGAGTGTCCGCTTAACGAGTCTGCCCACGTACTTCTCTGGCAATGGGCATCACCACCGCGTGGAAGGCCGCCAGGTACTCCGAGTCGCCCATCTTCCCGCCACTCCAGGGAATGTTGACGTTGAAGCCGCGGCCCTTTCCCCTGCCGACCTTGTCGAAGTCGGCATCATCAGAGGAGGGGAAGAACAGGCCATTGTCATAGCGGTGCAGCGAGATGTACAGCACACTGTGCGGCAGAGAGAACAGGGAGGGAAACACCCCCTTTATGTCGGCAATGCGAAGAATGAAAGACAACCAAAGAAGCTCGTTTTAGACTGAATCGCGACTTACCACTAACGCAGGAGTCACCTACATGACCATGTACACAGATCAATAATTAAAAAAGGAGCAGATTTACGTAACCTCAGTGTTGCTTGGCACCTGACTGTACTGGTAATGGTATGGTGATCACTAATGATGACCAAGTTATGCTTTTGTTAACTCTGTTTCAAATTAATGAGTTCCATAATATTTTGGTTTAACTGACATTTACTTAATATTGCATGCATCCAATCAGAGTAAAGCATTACTCAGTGTAGGACTCCAATAATTCACATACTCTCCGTGCTCTCTAAATCAACCAGGATCATTCCAAGCCATTGCACTGACTGGCAGCTGAACCTCAGACTCATATCTGCTAATCACTGCAAAGATTCAGTGCAGCCTGAACTACAGCATGACATGCATAAATTTACACTGTAATGTTTTTTATGTAAAGCAGCTGACTACTTATTATCTGTCTACCCAGATGGATACTCTGCTGGAGCAGTTCAGCTTCAGATCTGTCGCCACAGCTAGGGGGTCTACGGCAAACCCGCGACCTCGGCGGTCCGCAGCACTAAACGCCACGCCCCCGGCCGCCTGGACGTCGGCTGAGCCGCTGTCATAAGAACATAAGACATTTACAAACGAGAGGGGGCCATTCGGCTCATCAAGCTCGTTTGGGGAGAACTTAACTAATAGTTCAGGATTGTTAAAATCTTATCTAGCTCTGATTTAAAGGAACCCAGGGTTTTAGCTTCCGCTACACTAGCAGGAAGACTATTCCATACTCTAACTACACAAAAGTTTTTTCTCAAATCCAGTTCCACCTATGGCCACGAGTTCTAGTATTTAAACTAATATTAAAGTAGCCATTTGGCTGAACAGCATCCAGAATCTTATATACCTGGATCATGTCCCTGCCTTAATCTCCTTTGCTCAAGGCTGAACAGATTCAGCTCAGCTAACCTCTCCTCATATGACATTCCTCTAAGACCAGGAATTATTCCTGTAGCCCTATGTTGAACCCTTTCTAAGGCAGCAATATCCTTTTTAAGGTATGGTGACCAAACCTGTACACAGTATTCTAGGTGGGGTCTTACCAAGGAATTGTATAAACTTAGCATCACCTCCCTTGACTTAAACTCCACACACCTAGAGATATAACCCAACATCCTATTGACCTTTTTTATTGCTTCCCCACACTGGCGAGAATGGGACATGGAAGCATCAACATACACACCGAGGTCTTACTCATAATCAGCTACCTTTATTTTATTGGAACAAATAAAATATCTGTACTTTATATTTCTGCTCCCTGCATGGATTACCTTACATTTATCCACGTTAAATTTCATCTGTCCTACCTATCGTCATCCTCAAAGATGTGCTGGGTGCCGTTGCCATGGTGCACGTCCCAGTCCAGGATGAGGACCCTGAGGGGCTTCTTAGCAAAGGTCTGGGCGTAGCGCGCGGTCAGAGCCGCCGTGTTGAAGAAGCAGAAGCCACAGGCCACATCTCTCTCGGCGTGGTGGCCGGGGGGGCGCACGATGGCCACCGCGTTCCTCACCTGGACACAAACAGGAACAGCACACCACAGGCATTCGCTGCCTAGGGGAACGCGGGCCTACATGACAGATATGGATTAATGCAAGATTAAGGACCTGTCCAGTGAGCACAGCCTCAGCCGAGTTGAAACAAGTGCCAGCTGCCAGCAGGGCACATCTGTAGCTCTCACTGCTGATGTAGATTGAGTTGTACTCATCTCCCAGCCTATGCAAATCCCTGGGCTTCATCCCCTCTGTTGACTTGATCTTAGCTATATGCTCCAAGCTGGGAAAAAAAGGGGTGATGTGATCAGAATTAGAGACGAAGCAGTTTAAAAATTTAATATCACGATTAAAGTGACTAGACATATCACAGTGATCAGTATTATCTCAGTATTGTTAAACTGTTTTGAAAAAGCACCGATGCACAAACTGAAATAATTTCACGAAGTCTCATATCAAAAATGAGAAATAAAATTAGTAGAATTATGCAATTTTTGTTTGCGTGAACATTAAAATAATAATACCTTATGAAAACACATGAAAACCACATGAAATGCACATTAACATTAAAAAGCTCTGCAGTGCTGTCACTGCCTTCTGCAGTGCTGTCACTGCCTTCTGCCATGTTTAACTGACACAAATCAAACCCATGTTGCATGTTGCACCTGCTTACCTGTGTCTAGGAGACTGTTACTAACTTTCTTTGATGCTGGACAGTATTTACCTTTAATTTTTCAAAGCACGGTAATCAGGCACAGTTTTCAAGATAACTAAAATTCTAATCGGTAATACTAAGTGTCTAGAATTTTACCATGAAACTGGAAATCATTTCATCCATAATCAGAATAATGAGCTAAACAGAAAAGTAAACTGGGAAACTGGGAGCACAAAAATCCACCAAAGAGGATGGCTCTGATCCAATATCACCAAAATAGGCTCAGAAATGTGGACATGTGCTGGCTGAATCAGCACAACAGGAGAAATGCATCAACACACAGTTTCCATGACTACCGATCACTGGATCCCACTCTACCTGTGACACGTGGCCAGCTCCTCCTCCGTGGCAAGGCGTGCCGGTATCCGTAGGCAACGGGAGACAAGGCCCAGTTCCTTGTGACGGGAGAATATGCGGGAGATCCTCTGCGGTTGCTCAGGGTGATGGCTGCATGGGTGCAGAGGTTTAAAAGCTCAGGTTTAAAACACCTGGTGTCGCCACGATGGCCAGCCAGATGACATGTGACCCAGGGGAATCCATTAGCTGTTTATTTTTTAGCAACAGTGTCCTGCACGTTCAATTCAACAAACTGTTCGTATTAGTACCAATAATATTAAGGAATGAATCCACATAAACAAAAGTAACCGACATACTGGATCTTGCTTTGATCCCATATAGAGGTATCTCCTACACTGTGCCTGAATAATGACTGCCCTGGGGATGACCCTCCTCGGTTCACCTGTCCCACATGTTGTGGTGCTCCATCATCCTCTGATCATACGCCAGCCCTGTGATCTGTGCAGGCATCTCCCCTAGGCCCTCACCAGAGGGCTCCACTGAGGCCGGGTGAACGGGGCTCGTCTCCTTGCACATCGGGCCGCCTTCTGTGGACGGACACAGGTGACCCAGACGATCAGGGAGCTGAATGGAAAATGTCACTGCGGTGGGTAGAAGCTTAACCCCAAGCGGCACTGAACGCATACCTAGTATCTGCAGGCTGGTCCAGAAGGGATAAAGTGAAGAGATGGTCTGCGAGATGGACTTCAGGGCACTGGGAGAGTCACAGACACAGGCGCAGGGGAGCAGAGAGCACATGCAGCTCATGAACAGCAGTTATGGGAAGCAGGCGCCTTACATACGATACATCAGTCAGTAGGCAAACAGGACGCTAGAACCGAATCTTCTGTAAAACGCAGTAACAGTAGTGGCAGTTAGTGTCCAGCTGTTCTATGAATGCTCACCTGTCGCTGGGGGCTCTCTGTGGCACCAGGCGGGGGCAGGACTCTCCGAGCAGCAACCTGACGCAGGCGCACACCCCATCTGCGGTAGCCTGAGGGTTATACCCTCCCTGAACAAAAAGGGCATCAGTCAGAGACCAGCATGCACAGCCCTTTATAACAGTTGTTCTCAACCTTTTTGCACCACGACCCAAACGTTTACCATGCTCTATATCAAGTATAGGTCTAAATTAACGCTATGATCAAACATGCAGTAAACTCTGTAATTAACGCTAATCAATGCCTATTGCACAAATCTGATTGGATGTGCCAGTGAATTTTAAATTAAGGATCTGTGGTTTGGCTTCTTGGATTGGTTGAGTGTTCACTAGTTTTGCACCAAGCGTTTGCAGACATGGGTTGAAAATTCTGCTTTATAGCACTTCCTGTGAACCTCTAGTACCTCCAGTGCCAGGATGAGTCTGCCCTGGGCAAGACCCTGCAACAGGTGTGTTAATACAGCAAAGCATTGTGGGCTAGCAGACATCTCTCCCTGGGGAAACACACAGAGAAGACACACACCCAGCAGTAAAGCAGGCAGAGTTACAGCAACATCAATTTCCTATTTCTAAACACTGCCACAAAAAGTACAGTGCTATATATTAATTTATTCTTTTGCTAAGCAGAAGGATGTGTTTTACTACCATATCGATGGCATCTACGCTGCAGATCGGACCATCCTCTCCTAAAAGTGGTGTCAATGTTGCGCACAAATAAAAGTCAGAACTTGCCTTAGGATCCCCTGCCAAACAGTCAAAGCCAGCCGCCACGAGGACCAGCTGAGGCCGAAACTACATAGACAACAAGCCTGTTAGGGACCGTCTACAAACAGCTTGCAAGTTTTTAAGTACATCAACGTACAAAAACGTCTAGTCTGCAGTGATACAATACCTCATACGCCACGGGCAGGAGCAGTTGCTGGAAGGCGGCGATATAGTCTGCATCCTTTACACCGGTCTACAGGGTAAAAAGGGAGCCATGAATGAGCACAGCGCCATCTACAGGTACAGCAGGAAACAGGTGAACTTGTAGCATGTTTTATACAGCACTAATTGATTTAGAACTATGAACACCGACATAAAAGGAAGAGCAGGGGATAAAAAGAGCAGGCAGGAGTGCAGAGTGCACCTTGTTCCATGGTAGGTTGATGTTATAGCCCTCACCGACCCCAGAGCCCAGCGCCCCACTGTCAGATTCGGGAAGGTGGGGCCAGAAGGCACCTCCCTCATATCTGTGCACTGAGAAGTACAGCACACTGTGGAGAGAAAGCAGACACTATCACACACGCAGCCCACGCTTCACCTTGTTCTTGTGTACTGCTGTCTTACAAATTTTGAACCTGGTCAGGTTGAGTGGGTAAAAACAGGCGCGGGCCCTTGAGTCCGTACCTGGGGTCCTCCTGGAAGCTGTACTGGATTCCCTGGCCGTGGTGCACATCCCAGTCCACAATCAGGACCCTGGGCAAAAAAATACACAGCTGAGCTCGGCGCACACTGTCATGGGCTCTAAGAACTGGATCATTACCTTCTCATGATGAAGATCAGAGGAGAAACAAACAGCAGGGAGGTGAGGGAGAGACCGCGAGGCGGATGCGTCCTTCACGCTCACCGCTCCAGGCCGTGCTGAGTCTGTGCGTATCGAGCCGCAATGGCCAGGCTGTTGAACATGCAGTAACCGTTCATCTTGTCTGCCTGTGCATGGTGACTAGGGGGTCTGGGGGGGGGAGCGGCCACAGCCGGCATTTATTAAAGTGAACAGCTTCAGAACAGCATCAGGATCTAATGTTTTTAAAAGGATAACAGAGCATCAAATATCATCTATAAAAACCTAATTCAGCATTGTATTCAGCACCACGTAACACTTAGCGTGCGCCTTCTGAAAGTAAATATTCATAATTTCTATTGAACAACGCTAACATTTAAACACATGCGAACTAGGGCTGTAACAGCACACGTACTCATCATGTGCCATTCAGATACATCATTTTCAGTTCAGCATGCACTGCGAGACAAGTTAATACATTTCTTGAACTTAATTCACAAACAGATTGTCAACACGGAAAAAATTATGGTAATTTTAGCTGAGAGTTGGTTACGGCTAATGCTGGTTACAGTCAGTCATAGTGGGCAATTTAGGAACAGTATGGTCTATATTTCTGCTCCCTGCATGGAACTTAAATCTCCCTGAAATTCAAATTCAACTCCAATTCTGTTCCCCGTAGTTTTTTTTCCAATCCCAGCTCCAGTTCCATTTCCTGATTTGGACTGGAATTGGTCAATGCATTCCGAAATGGCCCCAACTCTGATATATAGGGCCCATATATATATATATATGTATATGTGTGTGTGTGTGTGTGTGTGTGTTTGAGAGAGAGAGACTAACGGCTCTGCTATACCAAACTTGGATATGTTGCTGGAAACACAAATGCTAACTCACTTGAGACGACATCATCCGAGTGACATCATCCGAGTGTGTGCACGACTGGAAGGCAGAACAGCCCCTACATCAGGGGTCTCCAACTCCGGTCCTGGAGAGCTACTATCCAGCAGGTTTTCTATCCTATCTGGCTTCTGATGAGCCGCACCTGTTCTCAGGTAAATACCAGGCCAGGTGTGGCTCATTAGAAGCCAAGTGGAACAGAAAACCTACTGGATAGTAGCTCTCCAGGACCGGAGTTGGAGACCCCTGCCCTACATGATTGTCTGTCTGTGCTGTTTAAGGCGCTTTTGTCAGTAAATTCAGACTGTGATAAAAACAGTAATGGCAGCTGTAGGGGTGTTTATTGCTACAGATATGTGACCGTTCTCATCAGCAGAGAACACAGGATTTAGATGGGATTCAGTTCATTATGATTGTTATCATGTTATACTTTTGATTTTTGAATGTTTTTTACATATTTACTTTTATAATGTGCAAAGAGATTTGTCTCTTAGGTTTTGTTATTCAGACTTGTTGACAGGCACACTGCCTTTGGCTTACAATTGTTCCTGATTGTGCTTGTGTTTGCAGTTTTAATAATAAATAATTTCAAATTACATTTTCCCTGCTGTACCAAAACTGCACCAAAAAGGGCTTTCAAAACCAAGGTTTGTGCTGAACCATGAATGTTGTGTAAAGTTACATTCCTAACGCAAACTGATTTTCCTGAATCAATACGATCGATAACATTTGAATTGTCATTTAAAATAAACACACAGTCTGCTCCATCCTACCTGGTGACAGCAAAGCCGTTTCTCAGTTCCGATTTCAGCACTTTGTCAATGAGCTGCAGGACAGCACCCACTGCCACTGTGGCAGAGTGGAAGGATTCCTACAAGCGGGAGCACGGAACATCACATGTCACGGACAGACCGCCAGTGCATGAGAGTCACCCAACAAGCAGAACAGCCAGTCGGGGGGGGGGGGGGCAAAGACTCACAGGATGCAGGTAGATAGAGTCGTAGGTTTTGGAGAGAGACATGAGCTCGCTCTCAGACATCTTCTGGGTGGATTTCATCAGCTCGACATACTGCTTTCTACTCAGGGCAGAGATTAGCACACGGTTAACAAGCCGTGAAAGATGCTGAGGCGAACAGCATTTTGCCACTCTAGACAGCTGTTTCCAGAGTAACACGCAGAGCTTGCTGCGTGTTTCTGAAAAGATGGACCAGCAGCAATGGTCAGGCTCTGGTGGCTTATGATTATTTTAAGTTAAATGGCAAAAGGTCAGCCGCACCCTGTCCTCCAACCCCCGGTCCCATTTTCCACACAGATCGCCCTACGAAAGAGGCATCAGATACCTGCTTATGAATGGACTTACGTGTGGACAAGCAGAAGGTCCTGGTCTGTCGCAGGCCTCGCCTGAAAGACAGCAAACAAGCAGGAAAACTCGGCTGATCAGAGGGCTGTAAAGGTGCCGCCGGCCCCCCGTCATGGACGTACCTCCACTTGGACACAGCGAGACAGCAGCCTCTGGCTCTCCAACTTCTCCATTACAGCCGTCACTCTCTCAGGACACTCAGGGTGGCCGCTGAGGAACACGCACCATAAGGCCAGGTTAACAAGGGCAGCACCATCGCTGCTATTTCACAAGCCTCGCTGTTTCTGAGATGCTCTGACCCAGTCGTCTGGCCGCAACGATTTGGCCCTCGTCAGAGTCACTCCGATCTCTACCCTCTCCATTTCTTCTACATTCAACACATCGACTGCGAGTACTGAATGTCAGCTTAGAGCCTAATACATCCCAGACCCGTTTTTACAAGATAGACGTTATTCGTATATCCTCCTGAGACCCAAGGAATAAAGTGTCCTTCAATTTTAGGTTATTTGTCTTTGGAGGAAATAAGACATCTTACAATTTAGATTTTTTCAAATTTATTTTTATTTCTAATTTCACAGCATGTTCTCTTTAGTGTACAACAGGAATAAATATGTTTCCTTACATCAGTGAAAAGACGGATGCAAAAACAAAATGTCCACTACAATGGACATAAATGAATGGGTGGGGTCTCAGGAGGATATCACAGATCAGTGACAGAGTTTTGTTGCAATGAATACAATTTTTTATTACCATCATATTTGTGGATGGTTGATAAGTGAGGTATATAAGTGATCATAAATAGTGCTTAATAGCTCATGTTCAGTAGAAATAAATAATATTTTGCTTTACTAATGTCCTAGATGGTAGAACTTGGACTGTTGTGAACCTGTTGTGAAAGCAGTACCTGTCCCAGAGGCAGCAGGGGCGGGCAAAGACGTCGCTGTAAACGAGGCCAGTGCCTGTGGCTTTCAGCTTGCTGTTCAGGTCCTGAGAAGCAAGAAACCAGGATCTCACATTCATCAGCTTCAGTTCAGGCAGTGAAACAACTCACACCGTACTACAGCCAATCACTCATTAAATTTCATCCGTGGAAATCAGTCATATCTTCTAGAAATGGAAGCGCTGAATAGAGAGCAGCTTCTTACTGTTCATGCAACACCGTACAGGTGTGTAGTAGTTCCCCTGCTGGATTTGCAAGACCTTGATATGATCAGGAATTTGTGTGTATTTAATGGGCAATTTTCCCACAAAGGGGGTGAAACAACCTGACGCTCAGAACTAACCTCTTAGCGCTATTACCACACAAGATTTGAACCCTCAACTTTGGAGATATGGGCGTAGATCCCAAAATCACTGAGCAGTGCACCACCCCAATCCTCCAACTGGTTTCATTACATGTTTTTATACTGGAAAGGATTCAGTAATGGCGTCAAACCTGCTGCCAATCCCCAGGCTAAAGGATGCCTCAGTCACATCTCCCTATCATAAAGAAATACTGCACAGATACCAGGTTCTTGAGCTGCTTAGCCATCTCCTCTTCTCCTCTGCTCTGCTCCATCCTTCCTTTCTTCTTGGCCTCCTGGAGGCTGGTCTTCTTGCTGCAGGGTTTGCTGTTCTTCTTCTAAGGAGACAAGTTTCACACGTATGAGTTGAGCAAGGAGCACACAGATGCTGCCGGTCGGCAAAAGTGTTACGATAACTTAAAAAGCATGTTAACAACACAGGAAAAGCCACGTTTTCTGAACAGGACCTCTGCACTTCTGTGCCCTACGAACAGGAATCTGTTAACAAGTGTCAGACCATTCGGAGCAAAGTCTACAGGAGCATAAAACAACACTGAAGGGCTCATAGCTTACAGTTTTCCTTTTTTTATCTGGCATATTATTCCACTGCAGAGAGATCCTATCCAATAGTATTAAGTGTTTGTTCCATTTAATAAATGTTCATTATTGCTGCAGATGAAACACACTAAGAAAATGGTTAATCAACTGCTTCCAAACGGACAGTTCCAGGCAAAAATGTATTTCTATAATGCAGTTTGGTTAAAAGGGAAGACATAGCTTAAACAATTTTAACCATATAGTTATTTTTATTCATTGACCTATTTAGCTCCAAAAAGAAGTTTGAAATCTATTTGCTTACACAGGGCTGAACTGGCATTAAAAATCAGCCCTAGACTTTGATGTCCCCTATGGTAAATTTTGCTTACTGGTTTAGTGGGTCCCCACAACACATTTTGCCCCCAGTATGCTAGATTGCCAGCCGAACCCTGGGTTTACAATTTCTTTTTACATTGCTTCAAAACACCCGAAATATTCAAGCAGCACTTTAAGGTCACTGCTATCACTGCACTTAGTGCGGAAGAAAATACATCATTTAACTTCACTGCTATAACTGGATTTAAAAGAAAAATAATTTCTTGAAGACGGCATTGTGATTGTAGAGCTGCAAGAATAAAATGCATCAGACACGCAGCAATTTGGCCGGAGAGACAACTTACTTTGGACTTGGAGTCCGGTGATTTAGGGGAACAGGACGACCCTCTAAGGGATCTTGATTCTGGGGGGTTAGGGGGAGAATCCATGCTAGAGCTAACTTCCAAATGTTGCAAAAATCTCTGCAATGAAAAAGTTTTTATATTATTATTATTATTATTATTGTGTCACTAGGGCAGGAGTGGCCATCCTGACCCTCAAAAGCCAGAGTCTTGCAGATTTCAATGCATTTTCATTAGTATTCAAGTAAAACGCCTGACAGATGGGGTAAATTTCATTACCAAATTAAAAATCTGAAGACTACCGATTAAGAGAACATATTAACCTATATATACCTAAAAATACCTCCATTATTTCGATTTATTATTATTTATTAATCAGGGAGTACCTATACACGAAAGAAAATCAGTATTTTTACAGCGACTCAAAGCATTAAGTGACAAGGCTCGAAGGATGATTGTACTGTATATAAAATGGACATTTGTTCGTAGGCCCTATAAGTCGACTGGCACCAAGGCTGATATTTTACCTAAACAAACAATATACACATCTAAAAAGAAGCTGAATTATGACATGAGCAATCGTATTGTTTTAATGGCAGATAAAAACAACTCTCCCAATGGAAAAAACCGCTACGGTAGGTGTGGATTACATAGCATTTTTCAACAACTGCAATAACACTTAGTTTTACTATACATTGACAAATAGCTAATAAGTCTTACTGTAAAATCGGTAAAATTTTGATTATTTAATCCGCTGATAAACCGCTGTCAACTGACTATATTACAAAAGACAGCAAGACAAAGGGCACTACATCAGATGAATATAGCCTGTATAACTGCAATATAGTTTTTAAATATGTACATACTACTTATAAGATCAGACAACCGCGTATATTAATGTTTAGTAATAACTATATGTCTAGTCATTTTGCACATGACACTTTACTTGCAGATTTCCGAGATAATTGTCAGAGAATGACCAGATTAAATACACATTGTGCCGATTTTAAATAAGTTACACCTTCTACCATAAAGAGGCCCCCGAACCTCTAAACAACCTGGTAAATAATATATTACTGTAATAATATTCCAGAAGAAGCAGTGTGTATATTTCATATAGCCGAAGCTGTAACTATTACTTACTTCAATATATTACAGCGCTGCCCGAGCGCTCAAATTGAAAATAGGTCGCAGTAGGCACGCCCCTTTGCTCAGAGGCGCTTCTCGATGACGACAACGAAACGTGACGTGAAAAGACGGAGCGCCGTTATGAACATGCACAGTTCAACAACATTTGGTGAATGTGTTGGTATGTTGCAAGCAATGTGTACTCTTATATTACGTATAGTTAGTTTCTAGAGGCCACTCTATTATTAGCTTGCGCTAATTTTGTTGACTGTGGTAATTAAAAAAATTGTACAACGGAATGGCACGGATGTAAGAAAGACTTAAAACATAAAAAGAAAAATTCATTATGAGAAGAGTAAACTTTGCTAAAGGTTCACACCAATAGTGAGTTTACAGGAAAACATCTGAGACTTAACTAACACTAAGAACCTGCAGATGTTTTAGTTCAGATGTCAAACCACATTTCCATGGGTATGTTTAGTGTCCCTGGTTGGCATAACTTATTCATGTATTGGAATAATTCAGCTTCAGCTATCTGAGGTCAACAAAATTAATGGAATTTAGCACTGAAACCAGTTAATAGTCCAACAGCTAATGCAGTAAACTTAAGTTCCTCAGGTGCCTTTGCAGTTTTAGTAATGTAATATAACATTAATTATTAGTTTCCAGTTTCAGTTCCTTTTCTCCATCTCTTATGCCCCCCACTTTTATTAGAATATATGCTATTTTGTTGATGTTATATGATGTAAATAAATGTTTTCCTATCTGTTTCATTTGAGTCAGTTTGTCTGTGTTTCCATGCCTGTTTATTCATACGTCTTATCTGCACTGATTGTATTTACAAGCCTACTATACTTTCTGTATCAAACAGTGTGTTGGACGTTGTGTCCTTTAAACTTTTCATTTTGTCTTTTTTCTGTATTTTGTGTTCTTATTTCTGTCAGATTGAAAATGTATCTATTTCAGGAGTACTGCTTTACTCTTCATTTCTCCTCAAAATGTCACATTGCCCACCACTCAGTATGTTGTAGTGATGCTGATGAAATAAAAAATTTTTTTTTTTAAAGCTGTCAACAAAATAGCATATAATAGCTGTCAACAAAATAGCATATAAGCACTATTGTATTCAAATTCATACATTCTTAATTTGTAAATCACAGCAAATAAGAATTATGGCAGTGGTGAATACTCTGATTTAATAGATGTCTTGCTGATAACTTCTTATACCACTAACTCAAATTTTGAAATATTCAGGTAAAATCTTACAGATCATTCCAGGAGTTTTTTTCTAAACTTGAATGGCTGCTTAATAATCCTCAACCCCTTGAAAATGTTGACCATAATACCTGTCTGTTATATAAGATACCACTTGATTTGATTCCAAAGACCTGTGTAGATTTAAATAAATCCTTCAAAAATCAAAGCAATATTGTTAAGCATTAGACACCTTGCGTGGTCAAACATCAACAAAAGCTACACTGATTATGTGAATTTATTATAAAGAGCATGACTTGATACACAGGCTTTAACTAAGCTACCAGCCCCAGAGGTCTTGTAGTAACTGGGTTATTGTACTCAAGGTAAAAGATGAATGACAGGCAGATTTTAACTGCACAGGATACAGTCAGTATATGTGCAGAGTTGGACATAGATATACTGTATATGAGGAAGGGTACAGGAAAAGAGGGTTTGGAGGCACAGGGTGACAAATAACAGTCCACCACCAACAGCTCAAATGAGAAGAGAGGGAGTGCAACTGGGTAAGAGCCAGTGAAGGAAGAGTGTGAGTGAGGGAGCATGGGCACCAACGGATGGGCCTGTGAGTTGGCTGGACCTGTCCTGTGGTTGCTAATCTCTCCCTGTCATTCATGGCCATTTCCCCACTTTGGGGCTGCCCACCCTACCAGAAAGAAAAAAAAGAGAAACACAACCCGCCTGCCACTCAGATAAACGAATAAACAGACCCATGCCATCACCACCAACCTCCTTCTGTATGCCTTTCCTTTCCTTTTGCATTCTTTTTTTTTAAGTCCGGAAAACCATAAGCCTCCTGCGTTGCACAATGAGGCTCCAACCAAGGCGTGAACAGGACGACTATGTGGTCAACCCTGAAAGTGAGAGAGAATGAAGAGGGAGGAGTTGTAGATGGGAGAGAAAAAGTTGTTCTTCACTTGAACCCTTGTCCTATTCACATTACATTGGGTATCTTTTGGGCTCCCAGAACTGAAATACTCCTCCATTTGTTCCAAGTTACTTCTAATTTGGAGAACATCAAAATGTTGCTCTTGGTGCACATTTGTTGTCTACACAACATTATAAAAATGGATACAGTGAAGGGACTTACTTGGAGAACACTAATTGAAACATCTGTTTTCATGGTACACTTGGGTATCTTCATCTGTAGCATGTCCTTTCATGGATACTTTCAGAAAACTTTGAATTTACCAGTTACTAATGATGAATGGAAATGCAAGGCATGTTAAGTCTGAATTTGAGTTGGTTGACCATTAACAGCTCTTGGTGGGTCAGTACCTCCATGTGAGAACTACTCCAGAAGACATTGTCTGTTCACTTTGACTATTGAGTTCTGTTGGCTCTATAGTGCGAAAGAATTATACTAGAATATAAGCTGGGTAACATGCATGGTGGAGGCCTGAGGAAAGTTTGGAAGAGCAGAGAAGAAGTTGGCAATAGCGATAGCTGCTGGAATGATGGAGCTAGTATGATCTTGTAAATTATATGAAACTATGCAACAGCTGGTTGGAGAGCTTAAGCAATTAAGTCACAGAATTCCATTGCTTGATGGTATTGGAGCATAGATGCCTTATCTGTTATAGATGTGTAAAATCTATACATTTATTCATGTATGTCTTCCCCAAACTACATGGTATTTGAGTACCAATCTGAAATGCCACCATACATTCCCTGAAAGTCTAGATACCTCATGCTGTGATTTCTGTGATCAAATGAACATTTATTATGAATACTGTTAGCACAAATAATGACAATGACATTCTGTCATTATGGTAAGTGTGCTTATTCTAAATTAGCTTTGCTTGATATCTTTGAAGATGCCACACAAAACCATATAAAATGAATCTAGTGTCTTGCCAACAGGAATTTTGCCAAAAGATATTGTTGGCCCATTGACTACTTTTAAATATCTGAGGAGTTCAATGGCTGATATCAGGGAAAATGCACATCAAACAGCAAAATTGTGTTGCAACCTATACACTGGCCTGGAAAAAATATGATTTGTGCTAAAAGTCTTATCCCAAAGGCTAAATAAAGTTTAGAAGAATGCTTGGAATTACTTTGTAAAAATAAACAATTTGTTTTTCAAAGAAAGATACAATTATTTGGTTTACAATTACATTTCAGCAGATCCAACACAGTACTCCACGAAGTCAGTACAGTTACAGATCATGATGACATACTGTGGTGGGGATGCTTTATCTTCAAACAGAGATCAATAGCTTTGAGGGAATTTGAGAGAAAGCCAATTTCATACAGGCAAAAATATAATATGCCTTTCTGTGAGAATGTGATTGGAAAAACAAGACCAAAGTTGCACTAGAATGGATTAGAAGTAAGAAAAGTGAAAATCCCTGAGGAGACCAAGCAAAGTTCTGACTCTATTCCTATTAAAAGCTTGAAAATTGCTATACATAAGCAACATGAGAGCGCTTGAGCAGATCTGCCAAGATTAGGGAACAAAAATCACAACATAGCACTGGGCAGAGTCGGCGTATTACAGGATGGTTCTGGAAATTTGCTAGGCATTGTATAGAACCGGGGTGGCCAGTCTTATCCACAAATAGCCAGTGTGTATGCAAGCTTTTGGTATAACCTTTAGGTCAGCTGTGAGGACTCTTCAGCCAATCAGTCCTTTAATTGCTAATTTAATTAAGGAGTTGCAGCAAAAACCCGTGTACCCATTTCTGGGTAAGATTGTCCATCCCTGGTATAGAACTGGCTGCTATTTCATTGCAATGCAATAAATAACTGCTAAATATTGAACATGTCGTGCACTGGCATCCCAGATTGAGTTGAGATGCAAGGAAGAGTTTTATCAAGTAATTATTAGAGGTCATATATACACTATATTGCAAAAAATATTGGGACACCCCTCCAAATCATTGAATTTAGGTGTTCCAATCACTTCCATAGCCACAGGTGTATAAAATCAAGCACCTAGGCATGCAGACTGCTTCTACAAATATCTGCGAAAGAATCAATAGCTACAGACCTCCAAACTTCGTGTGGCCTTCAGATTAGCTCAATAACCATGTGTAGAGAACTTCATGGAATGAGTTTCCATGGCTGAGCAGCTGCATTGAAACCTTACATCCCCAAGTGCAATGCAAAGCGTTGGATGCAGTGGTGTAAAGTACACTGCCACTGGACTCTAGAGCAGTGGGGACGTGTTCTCTGGAGTACTGAATCATGCTTCGCTATCTGGCAATCCGATGGATGGGTCTGGGTTTGGCAGTTGCCAGGAGAATGGTACTTGTCTGACTGCATTGTGTCAAGTGTAAAGTTTGGTGGAGGGGGGATTACGGTGTGGGGTTGTTTTCAGGGGTTGGGCTTGGCCCCTTAGTTCCAGTGAAAGGAACTCTTAATGCTGCAGCATTCGAAGCCATTTTGGACAATTTCATGCTCCCAACTTGGTGGGAACAGTTAGGGGATGGACCCTTCCTGTTCCAACATTACTGCGCACCAGTGTGCAAAGCAAGGTCCATAAGGATATGGATGAGCGAGTCTGGTATGGAGGAACTTGACAGGCCTGCACAGAGCCATGACCTCAACCCGATAGAACACCTTTGGGATAAATTCGAGTGGAGACTACGAGCCAGGCCTTCTCGTCCAACATCAGTGCCTGACCTCACAAATGCTCTCCTAGAACAATGATCAAAAATTCCCATAAACTGACTCCTAAACCTTGTGAACAGCCTTCCCAGAAGAGTTGAAGCTGTTATAGCTGCAAAGGGTGGGCCAACTCCATATTAAAGCCTATGTATTAAGAATGGGATGTCATTAAAGTTCATTCCCAATAGTCCCAATACTTTTGGCAATACAGACGCTCCTCTACTCTACTCCTCTACTCTGAATGCGATACGTTCCGAATGGCCGTTCGTAACTTGAAATGTTCGCAAGTCATTATTCAACATCATTTTAAGGGTATACACAAGTACAAAGAACTAGGATGCTGGGAGTTTGCACGCTTCACTGCTGCGCGGCGGGAATAGCGGGCAGAAGTCTTACTAGGCGGCACTGGCGCGCAGAAAAAAAAATTGATGTTGTGGACAGGAAACAAGAGCCCAATGAACACAATTTGGACTTAGTCCTCTTCATATGTCTGAAAGTTCCTAAGTAGAGAAGTGTCTGTATAGTGTATGTATATATAGTAAGTATTCATGTAATGCATGCCGTTATCAGCACTGTCTTTGGAAGTGGCGTGATCCCTAATGAAATACCTGGCTTCTTCATTTTGCTTAGAAAAGTGCTCTCTCCCACGAGGAAGATTCAGGAGGAACACCCAGACAGAAATCACGTGAAATGACCCCTGGGATCAGAGATCACACGTGTAATACTGAATTTTCAAATTCCACATCTCAAAGAAAACTCCCAAGTTTTTGGTCCATCTGATTGCTTTAAAAAGCAGTACCATATCAAAACAGTATTTCATATTTTCTTGCATTTTTGCAGTGAATAATTAGCGATGCATCCCCCAGCTGCTTATCCAGTGCAGTCTTTCCAGTGCAGGGCTGGAGTCTATCCCAGGTAGTGCTGGGTGTGAGGCAGGGAAAACCATGGATAGGATGTCATCCAACTTCAGGGAAGTACAGCACCATGCAAAAGTCTTGGGCAGTCAAAGAAAATGATGCTTAAATGGTCTTTATGTTGGTGTAGAATTATGCTGTTATGTCTGTCAAAAGGTGTCAGCCATTTCAAAACTTTCTAAAGTGACCCCAGTATTTATAGCGACCATCCAGTACACCCATGTATTTTTGAAACAGACCTTGTGTGTGACCTACCTTAGTTTACAAATACTTTATAATCTCCCAAAAAGTTAAGATTAGTAGGCCTGTTTTCATCACCATCAAATATCAAAATAAAAAAACAAACAAACCTGCATACGATATGTGTGTACAAACTGAATCGACCGTGGACATTAACTGTCATAGGTAATATATTTTTGTCCAAAGTAACTATGACAAAACTATGGAAAACTTACATTGAAATTTATTGTTACCCAAGAGTCAAAATATTTAGGATACATTATTCAAATCAAATTTCCAGCACAGGATTTTCAGGGACCCTGAATAGGATAAATGGTTACAGAGAATGGATGGATGGATGGATGGATGGATAGATAGATGGATGGATTTGCAGGGAGGATGGAGTCTTAAAGTAAAATTTTTTTGGTGAAATATTACCAAAAATATTTTATTTCTTTGTAGCTGAAATTTAAAAAAAAGAATATTGAGTTAAAGGCAGTGTGTTAAGTTTTAGTAGAAATACCTGCAAATCAGTGAGATGGCTGTATAAATAATTTAAATGATCTTAAGCAGAAGTTTAGATTATGGTTAAATCCTACCATAATTAATGTCACTGATATATGCTCAAAATATAAGGTAGCATCTATTTTAATAATTTTAAAAAGTTTGGCAGTTTGTGAGTTATCAGGTGTCTATAAACTGAGGAAAACATTCCTCAACTTTAAACAGGCAAATGAGAACTTACACAAATCCTAATATGAAAAAGTCAACTAATTTATTTCCTTTCCATCAAACACTTTCTCAACCACAACCTTTTGGAGAGCTCCCAGTGCAAATGCCAGGCTAAACAAGTGCACTTTTAGTGATATTTAAATACAAAATCTTAAAGAGCACGGACAATACAGGGTTTCGTTCCATGCGTTTTATGGAAACTTCTGTATTTGCATATCCAATAATCCAGAAACACTTTTGCTGCAAATGACTGTACTGTGGCATAAGACAAAGACATGCTTATGTTCAAGTGACACGAGTGACAATAGGACTATAGTGAAGCCCAACCGCAATGGCAAAAGTAGCCCCATCTATTTAAATGCCATTTACACATAGATTAAGTTATTTGTATAAAAATGAGCAGCAATCATCATGTGATGTTTGACTTTGCCCACGTCTCGTTCTTCCGGTTTTAAGATGTGCATGTAGCTGCTGGTGAAGTCTTGCCAATTGTAGGAAGTGAGGCTGGGTTTCTCAAACAAATGTGCGACTGGACAACGATTGCTTAAGGGAACTTAATCCAATCATCGGAGGTTTTTTTCTCCTGACAATGGGACACACAGCCCAGTGATTGACGCTGCTAGTGACCTGCCTGGAGCCCATAAACTTACTGGCCTGAAGAAGTTTTAATCACATATCTATACAATTGACATTCACAAATATATTTATTAGCATTCTTTTTTGCATGATTTCAATTTCTTGAACAAGAACTTGTGGCCATAGGTGGAAATTGGTGGGAGAACATTTTAAACTGGATTTGAGAAAGAACTTCTTTACACAGCATGTAGTAACAGTGTGGAATAGTCTTCCTGTCAGTGCAGTGCAAGCTAAAACCTTGGGTTCCATTACATCAGAGCTAGATAAGATTTTGACTCGAGCTATTAGTTGAGTTCTCCCTAAACGAGCTTGTTGGGCCAAATGGCCTCCTCTCATTTGTAAATTTATTATGTTCTATGTTCTTCATTGTTTTGAGTGAAATCTGAACAGAATAAAAAAACACAAAAGCATGTTTATAATATTATCTACAATGCTCACCTCTACACAAAATACAAACCATAGAAAAAGTTTTCACCATTTTTAAAAATAGTACTCATATATATTTATATTTATATTTATATTTATATTTATATTTATATATTGTATAGTGTCCAGAATAATTCATTTGGTAGATATTAATTTGTGCATCCATACCCCGTAATTACAGCAAAGCATATCAGTCCATCTGTAAGTAACTGAACATGCATCTGGGCATGCCTTCAGTGTGTGTGTGTGTGAGTGTGAGTGTGTGTGTGTCTGTGTCTGTGTGCGTGCGTGCGTGCGTTTGTGCGTGCGTGTGTGTGTGTGTGTGTGTGTGTGTTGAATTGCCTTATTCCATGGCACTGCAGCTCACACCAGTGTCGGCACCATTCCTGATGCTGGGTGGTAAGAGTAGGCCCCTGTGGCAGAGGGGTGCAGGGAGGATGGTGGAGGCATCAGGTGGGAGGGGTGGCTGTAGGAGAGCAGGGACCCAGAAGCCAGAGAGTATGAGCCCATGTGTGGCTCTGATGGGGGCCCCCGGGCCACGTCACAGTAAAGCTCCACCCCTCCGCTCTTCTTGCCCTTTTTGTTCCGATTGGACACCTTGCGGTTCCGTGTCTGGATGCCGTCTTTCTTCATGGTGAGGGGTCTGTTCACCTGAAGGGCAGCAGACAAAGGGATTCAGGCCGCTGTTAGTGGGGATTCAGCTGAAGACACTTGCACTTTCAGTGTTTGAGATGGCAGCTAGATGGCAGCTCAGGTCATGCAGATTCCACCAGCTCCAAAACACTGACCCCAGCTACCATTTACCAGCCTGTTCGCTGAAATGGACGTGGTCAGCCTGGAACTCACGTTGTGCAGCTTGAAATAAAGGCCGCAGGCGTTGCACACAGGCTCCCCGCTGCTGTTACGCCTCCACAGTGTGGTGGTGCTGGTGTGGCAGTTGGCACACTGCGTTCCGGCCCGCTTGCTGACGATCTGACGTGTGGGGAGGCACTAGTGAGGTCACCGCATCATCATCAACAAAACCCCCAATAGCTCAAGACGTTTCTTATAACCTCTTACATCCAAGATGTCATATTTAATAAGTATCAGAGCAGAGTAAAACCCCAAAGAAGAGTATAGTGTACCAGTCTCTTCTTGGGCCGGATCAGAGGTCGGTTCTGGCCATTCATCTTGTGATAGAGCCCACAGGCATTGCAAAGGTAATGGCCCGTTCCATCCCGGCGCCACAGAGGGGTGGTGGTAGCTCCGCAGTTGACGCATTCCCTGGCCTCTGTCATCAGACACATGGGGGTGACGGGGTCAGTCACATGCCACTCCGCTGGGCACATCTCTGCCGCAAAAGACAGTCATTCACACAACTCCGTGTTGGTAAACTGCAGATTAACGTAATAGTATTTACCTACGTACACGTGCTTAACCCCTAAGGTGAGTTGATTAGTGGTTAAATAATGACACTATGCAACCATCTACATCCCCTAATAATGTCATTGTCCATTCCATATATTTCACTGCTCTTTCTATAAGGCTGCAGTAAGGTGCTGCATAAGATGCCGGAAGAGGCACAGTTGGTGAGGCTTTGAGCCACAGCTGTGTGCAACTGCATGTGTGACCGAGAGGGTGGTGACTGAAGGTGCAGTGACAGTTCCTCACCAGGTGGCGACAGCCTCATCTTGTTCCGCAGTTTGGGGGAGTAAGGAGAGGCCAACAGCCCCCCCGTGGAGGGAAAGAGCCCAGCTGTACTGAAGTCCTGTGGTGTCGCCGTGTACGTGCTGTAGTGCCCCAGCACGTGGGAATTGGAGTGGGGAGAGTGACTATACATGCCCCCCCCCGCTGAGCCCAGCGTCAGAAAGCTGCTGGCTGCTCCCTCCAGGGGACTCGACCGCTCACCCTTCAGAGCCTCCTGCAGGTTCTCCTTGCTATCATGCCCTGGGGAGGGAATCCCATCCCTGGGGGAGGTGAATGAGGAGCTGGGGGTGAGTGGGTACAATGAGGAGGCGTGGGGGTGCAGAGTCTTGCCGTAGGGACTGCTGGGCCAGGATGAAGACGCAGGGGTGTAGGGGGAGCTGAGAGTGTGGGGGGCGGAGCCGTCCAGCCATTGCATGTTGTTCAGGAGGGATGAGGAGTACACCTGGCGGACTGAGAGCAAAGGTGCAACATTCAACTCACATGGGTTTTATGGGTGAACGACCTGAAATGTTGATGCTGTTACACAGTTCTCAGATTATCTGTACATGTGTGATCAAAAGATGTAACTGAGATCTATGGAAAAACTCAGGTAAGTGTACTGGGGGTGTGAGGTGCCCGGGAAGCTGACCGGGGCTGTGCCTGTAGGTGGGGACAGCGCGACTTTGCCCAGGGCTGGAGAAGTAGGACGGCATCCCCATGAAGTCCACCTCAGTGCTGGAGTACAGGGACTCGCCCTCCTCTCCTTGAGGTAGCAAGCCTGACTCGGAGGAGAAGCTGGCCATGGCCTCGGAGCTGATCAGGCCTGGGGACACCCAGCGGGACTGCTCTGTGGATTCATCCATCATGGCGGAGGAGTTACTTGGTTTGGACTGAGTAGGAAGAGTTTGAGCTGGAGCTGGATGATCTGTCCCTACAAGTACAGTAATGCAAGAATGGGACTGACAACACAATATACAACAGACCCATCAGTCCTACAGCCTAACACCTGTGAAGCCAAGAAGGGATCAATGTGTTACAGTACTGATTTGCTCTCATGAAAGTGACTTATTTCAGTATAATTATTCAAAAATGTTATTCTATTCAAATGATCCAAAGTTCAATGTACCTGAAAAGGTCCAAAGTTCAGTTCCTAAACTAAAACAGTTCACACAAGTAAAACCATCATTGGCATCATTTCTCTTGATAAATAAGCACAGCCTTTGACATGCTGATCATGGAAGTAAACCCACTGATTTTGACTGAGATAATCAAGCCCTTCAGTAGAATCTCAGTATTAGAGTCAGCATAGCTTCAACATAGCTGGCTCCAGTACTGAGATTCTACTGAAGGGCCTGATTTTCTGTATCAGCTGTAGGCTGCACCTCAGCATCCAGGAGCGAGATTGGGCAGCCCTGGTCAGTATAAATTGTGCTTTCATAGTATAAATTTGTTCAAACTAGACATAATGTGTTCAGCTACACTTGACACTATTCCAATGCTAAGCTGAGATATGTCTGCACATTCAACACTGAGCCATAACAAATAGTTTGATTTCTTTCAGGCTTCTTGTGAACTGGTAATGAAGCACTGCTGAGGACCTAAATATGTATCTGTTAAGAGATGGGAAATTACTCACAAGTGAAATGTGCCTTCACAGCAAACCGGATCCCAGTTTCTGTACTGAGGACACTGTCCCCTTGCCCAGATCCATGGCTCATTGTGCCAGGCTATGACGGGCTTGTAGAATTCCCTCTTATCCGGTGCTTTAGTTTCGCTCTAGTATAGTCCCTCGTTGAAGTGTAACAAAATGCTGCAGCCCTTCAGAATCTTTGAAAATGTTTAAGTTCTGGAGTTTCCTTATTTTAAATGGACATAAGGAGTAAATGATGTATGTCCCTAACGATTGGCGCAGTATGGTGTCTCCATTGGAAACGGTGTTGCCTCATGCTGCCAAAGTTGCATATGTGGAGATTATGGGTTCCTGCTGGGGCTCTTCTTTCCTCTTGAAGACTGGCTAACTGGTATCTCTGAAATTGCTTGATTAAAGGTGTGTATGTGCTTTGTGGTGGCCTGGCATCCCAGCAAGCCTGAAGCCATGTCTCGTACCCAGTTCTGCATAGGACTGGTTCCTCCGGGACCCTATGCTTAATAAATACTTAGCAGATAGATTCATGTGAAGTCTCAGTAGGCTAACTATGTGACGATTACCTACATGTGTGCGTCGGTAATAATATTGTGTCCCATTTGGTGATTGGTCTTGTCAAGTTATCGTTGAAATGCAGTTGGCCAAGACAACATTTTAACTTCACCTTATTTCTGATTAATCTTATCTGGGCTATATTTCTCATGATCTCCACTGCTTTCTTGGGGTAAGCATGTAAATGGCCTTTTCCACAAATGAGGAAGTAGACACCCCCAACTTAACATCCTGTCTGCTATATAAAAGAGGAACATGCAAAAGACCCAGACAATTCATCTTAATCATGCTATACTTCACTGCTACCTGATTTGTATCCAGATTGGCGCTCAAACAAAAATCTTGTGGTGTTCTGGTGCCTGTAATGACATCTTGGCTTATTTACTTGAAATGCATGAAATCTTGATTCTCTTTTTATGATGATGGCGAAATTTCTTTAACAAAAGTTACAATGGCCTTAACATTTGCTCACATAGTACTTAAAAATTTTGTATTTATCAAGTTTATGACTTGATAAATTTAAATGCTTTTGGCCATCTTGGACACTGGTTAGTACAAAAAATTCTACTAAACTGCTGCTAAATCTATATATTTCTAATTTGAAATTTTAGGTTACATAAAAATATGCCTTACTATAACCCACTTATTAACAATACATTTTATATATTTTTCGCTTGTGACTCTTTACTCTTATTGTTCATTGCTTTACCTGAGATTCTGAGTTTTGAAGTCAGCCCAGCTAACAAAACGCGCCTGTTGTTTTACATCTTTGTATAATTTCATGCTGTGGGGGGGGGATCATTTTTCCTTGAAACAAGGGTGATATTAATCTCCTCTGAATTGTTACTGCCTGAAGTACAATGCCCTAACGTGTATGTAGCCCACATGGCAGAAATGGCACAACTTATAGGCTGTTTGTTCGAGTCCCAGGAGGAAATCTTCCATTTATTAATCAGCCTTATTGAGCATTTCCAGCTGCTTGGATAACTTAATCACCTTCGAGAGTACTGTGAGGTCATCAAAGGATAACAACAACAATAATTTATCATAATAATAGTTATTTCTAAAATGTTCTCAGGCATCTTGCTGGTAGTAAACAGTGAAGGATATCCACACACACATCCGTATCTGATATGCAAAATGACGCAGCTCTTTGCGCGGTTTCTGCAGCTCCTGATATCTGAGGCCAGTCACAGCCAGGGGTGGAGCAGCAGGAGTGTTGGGTGCAGGTGATGTCATGTGACGCCTCAGTGTGAGCACAGAATGAATGGGACTCTGCCCTGCCAGTTACACGGAGCAGCGGAATATCCACAGGCTTGTGGGTGAGGAGGCAGGACAGTGGACCTCAAGAAGCCTCATCACCTGACTCAGTTTTAATGTTCAATAGGCATTAAATTCCACTGTCACAACCACACCTTCACAAATACTCTCCAGGATTCTTGGAATCCGAATAATATGGTAAAAGGTAGAAACAGCAGTGCTACTGTAAGCCCTCATTCCTATGAATGTGAGGATATGTCGACTGCATGATGCCGCAGAAACAGGCAGTCTGGGTGGGAGTTGCAAACTCAATACTCCCCTCAAACGTAGAAAGCAAACTGCACTGGAGCTCACGAGGATGACAGGCCACAGGAGCCTGTGTCACAAACACTTCAGCTCACCATCACGTCCTATTTGTTTCTGAATGATGGTCTGGGTCCAAACCATATCCGAATGAAGCAAAACGCAAATTGTTTGGCAGCCAAAAGTACACAAATAATTTACTAATAATTATTTTTTCTTATATTTTAATAATAAATATTACCATTTATTGTTCATGTAAACTAGTATGTCTAGCAAACTGAAACACAGCAGCATTTTGAACTCATTACAATAACCCTTTTCCCGCAATTTCAAGGCTCTTGTGATTCCAATAGTATGGCCAATGCTTCTGACAGCAGCCAAAACTGTGCACTCAGAAGTTCTGTCACATTAAATTAAATGTTTTATGGCTTTTGTCGAAATGATACTAAAACTGCACATAGAAATGTTAAATAGTAAGTAAACAAGAAAGCAATTGTTTTAAGTGTAGCATTTAAGGTTCACATCATTGTGGTGATATTTGGCCATATCTATCTCAAATTCAATCAAAATATTATGCAATACAGGAGGCATTATTAATTGATGCTTACCAGCCTGGTGTGCACTGTGAACTTGTGGATCGTCTCTCGTGACCCTGTGGCAGCAGTGTGGTGCCCCAAGTCATGCAGGGATGAGGCTGCAGACCGTGTGGAACAGGGGAAGCATGTAGGGCACTCTCCAGAAGAGTGATTAAACTCTAGGGCAGTAGGTTATACCGACAGAAGAACACTAGAGGACACACCCTCTGACACTCCTCTGCTGCTGCACAGAAGTCAGCGCGTGTGTCTGTGTGTGTGGCAGCATCAACATTTAGGAACTCAAACTGCAAATGTAAAATATAAACTGAATATAATAGGACTTCTATAGAGCCTCACTATTTTTCATGTATAACATTTTTAGGATTTTCTTCACATATTGAAAACAACACATGAATAACTTACCGGAAAACTTTCATATTGTATTTTAATTGTGTCATATTCACCATTGGAACAATTGACATTTGCTCATGGTTTCTCACTGAGCTGGTGGTCAAACAAAAAAAGTGTGTTTTTCATTTGAAGTGTGGTTTAAAGCTGGGTTTCATTCATACACTAAGTCCACACATGCCAGGCTGTTCTAGGTACTGCGTATCATTAGCTAAATAAGAAAATTATTTAAAGAAATTCTGTAATTTACAATTATTTGCAATCAGTGAAAAACTAGATACTCAGCAGGCTGATAGCGCTCCTACTGACAGCGGGGGCTCTGCTCCCCCCAGGGCCTAGAGACAGGAAGCACTTTTGTCTTTTACTTTGGAAATTATGAAAGGGGAAACATAATTCCATAACAAAAATTATTTTAATTTCAGTTTTTCGGACAAACCACCTTTATTATTGCAGAACAGTTAAATAAGAGTAACATATTTTTTAATGTACTTTGAGCACAATGCAACACAACAAGCCTGAGTGTGTTCATTTTACCGTTACGGTCAAATATCTTTATTCTAAAACTCACATGAAATGTGTGTTCCTTATCCTTGGTGGCTAAATCATATAAATAACCGAAAAATGATTAAAAAGGCTTAGGATTTTGGCATTGTTACAAACAGATTTATGTATAAGATACACATACAAATACACACAAATCCCCTGGCCTACACAAGCTCACCCACTCATCCAGGTAAAGCAAGAGGTGGGGTGACTGAACAAAGCCAGTGAAAATGCAAAGATGCAGCACCATTCAGCAGTTGAGCTCGGAACAGTAATGCAAATCGGAACAAATGCAGCAATCAAGAAAGATACGGACGTACTGACTCAGCTAGCGGAGAGAAGGGGGCAAATTTGTTAGGCAAAGCACTCCCCCCACATACCTCCCCATCCCCTTTGTTCATTTTCAGCTTTGGAGGAAAGTAAGAACAGTGGTTGGATTTAAAAACTGAAATGCCAGCAGCTGCGGTTGCACTGACATCCAAATGACTTCACTGCATGCTATATAACCAGTGATACTTACATTTTACCATTTTTCTGAATAATTATGACAGTTCAGAACTGTCAATAGAAATGAGCTCTATCTCTGCCCCCGTTCATTATGCTTAGTATGAAGCTGATGTCAGTTACCTTTGTGAAATGGATTATAAACTATTGATTTTACTCGCTCTCATTCAAACACATTTGGCATTATCATTCCATTTACATTCAGCACTTACTCAACTATGAAATTGAAACTAACCTGTTATGCCTTGTAATATCTCATTATATATTTAATTATAAAGAACATTCATCAAACTTATTTTTATTGAAGAGTGACCATAAATTTCAAAGTAACAAACCTCTGACACGGTTTTCAAATGACATGTTGGTTTTATTAAAAAAAAAAAGCTCTAAATCAGTGCCACACAAGACAAAGTGTTGCAAAACGATCATAACAATGATACCAACAATAATGCCTTTATTAATAGTAACTGGTGCAACCAAATCTATCAGCTTTTGCATGTGTGAAGATAGCTTTTAAAGGACTTCCTGGTCAGCTTTTCAACAATGCAAGGCTACTGGAGGACTGCATTAGAACGTGTAATGGGGGAAAAGTGGATGACTAAAGGATTAAGGATGTCGCATGAGACCCTCAGGGGGTTCCGTGGGGGGGTACAGGGGCGGGACAGGCCAATGTACAGTTGGGCCTGAGAGAAGGGTGCTCTAGCTGGGCATGAGGCTGCAATGCTCTGATAAGAGGTTATCAGAATTAAGGGAGCGGGCCAGCTGCTGCTGTCACTGGGTGTACTCACATTAACAGAGCCCTGCCAGCAACATGCACAAAGGAACTCTGGGTAAAGCATGTGCTCAGACACCAAGAGGTGCACACCAAAAGGGGAAAGCAGACATGCACAGGCTACACAGGAGATTCCATGTGGGAACACAGATACAGACGTGTAAGACCTAGGGTGATGCACAACAATGTACAAGAAGACAGAGGAAGCTCACCACTGGGCAGAAAGCTGGGTCAGTCAAGCCAAAGCATCTCCTGAAAAATGGGAGGTGCTGCTCGACAGATTAAGTCATAAAAAGTCTCCAAAACTTTGGAGATACTACATGTGTTTTTTCCCAGACAGTGTAGGAGAGGACAGAGTCTTGAGTCAAAACACAGATAGACATGTCTGATAACCATTAACCACAAGAGCCAGTGTATAGCGACCACTGTTGGTGTGGAAATCCTGCATGTGAATAATTATAAACACAGACAAAATGCATCCTCTACTTCGTGTCATTCTGCATAAGGCCTGTGATTGGAATAGCTCCCTACCGGAAGCTGGCAGGGAGCAAAAACGTGGACTGTTTGTGGGTCCCTGAGGACTGGAATGGGAAACACTGGCCTAGATGGATGGGGTTTCTCTCAGAGCCCATTTCTGTGTGGCAGGAAGTCCTTGTGCGTCAGAATTAAGCTCCACTATATACTTTCTTTGCCAAAATTCCCAAAATGATTATAGTCTATAATGGTGTTATCCCAGAGTAACCAAAGCAATTCCACAGAATAATCACTCCCCATTGTGCTGGTGCACTGGTAAATGGCCATAGTTCAGCTACCCTAAGAAATTCATTTGAATTTTATGATTTGAATCATTGACAGTTTTATTGCTGTTGGAATGGTGGGGACACGGCAGGAAAGACACACAGGCCTTAGAAAATGTATGAAAGTGCTTGCAGCAGACTGGTACAATGCAGAATATGATGCCAGCAGAGTGTCTTGGCTTCAAGTTCCCCAGAACGAGGCTTCTGTGAATGTGTCTTATCTCTGTTGCGCACAACCTGCTAAGCCTTTTGACATGACTGAACACACCCGGGTGCAAAACCAAAAAAAGCCACACACAAGAAAAAAATGCAATAGACACACACCAACTTAGAACCTAAAGTTTTAATACTGTGTCATAATGGATATTTTGGCATACATTCCAACACTTATCTTTTTGGATATGCATACAAAATTTATGAAAAATTTCACAACATTAATCTGTCGCCATGAACTCCAGATCCTGATATGTTGATTTGGACCCTAACAGCCAGGTTCCAAATCCCAGCTCTTGTAAGAGTGTTACCTCTGTGCTCCCTGGAGTCATCGCCAGTTTTATCTCTATGCAAGTTCAAAATTAAGGATCTATGATGGACCTCAAAACTGTAACCCCCCCCCCCAACAGTTAAGTGCTGCAAAGAAAAACCCTTTGAACTTCAGTAAACATTCATTAGCAATAACAGGACAGAGTGTGTGGGGGGGGAATTCTGTTGTAACGGTCTTTGCTTCCACACCCTTAACAGCCACACACAGACAGACGCAGCCCTAAGTCATCCCACTGACCAAAAAAAGGAAAATGGTTTAGTCTCTCAGGTCTGAAAACATCACGACACACTCAAACCTCCCCTAGCATTGAGCCATGCTCACAGGCTAGACTGCTATCTCTATGTGTGGTAATACTGTGAAGACAAGAAACTGCCCTTTCATCAAGGTAGAAAAGGTCCCAGAAAGCTCTGGGTTTATGGGGATGGAAAATAATGCCCCTCTGAATCAACAATCCTCTGACACCCATGGTAGAGCAGTCAGATATTGCTCTAGCCAGATATCAATGGAACCTTTTCCTGGACATCCCCATTCCTGAATGCTCCACCAGTCTTTTCAGTGGATGATTCATAGACAGCCTTGACATAGTTAGAGTAATTACAGTGGAGTGATCACTAAGCCATTTAAGAGTAAAGAAAAAAAAAAAAAAGTGACCACTGTCACTGATCCACTGTAGTGTGGAGAGTGCCAGCACATTCAAAACAAGAGACAGTGCCAAGCTTCTACAGTCGTGTCTGTGGGGAACCTGAAATAAGAATGTTCCGAAAGAGTCTCTGAAACACCACGCTCAAACTTCTCTGGTGATTACAGCCATCGTTCTGTCAAATATGCAATAAGATCACATACATATTAATCGCCATCTGAACTTGAATGGTTCTTTTTTATTAGTGATTTTACTGGTGACACACTGATGACGGTCGGACATTCTACAACCGAGGTGGATCACTGATAAATAAGAACATAAGTCACCCGAGTTTGAAACATGAAAAAATAAGCATACATCCAATAAATATCTTGTTTGAAATAAAATTGCTGTCAGTAAAATGTGAAGGGAAATCTTAGTAGGCAATCACTTCTATCTATATATTAAAATGTAAATAACAACAACAATAATAATAATAAATTTAGAAATAAATACTGGTGGGTGGGAGGGGTCAGAAATACCCCCATGCATGACCTTGGAGGAGTCCAGGATCTATCAAACTCTCATGAAGAGGCCGGTCCACAGAAAACTCATGGGGGGGCTGCAGGCGCTGGCGACAGCGATTCCCCCCATGCTGAGGAATAGGAAGCTCAGAGTGGTGGGCAGGCAATGGATCTGTGAAGAAGTAAGGGTGGAGGAGAGCCTGGAAAATGACAAGAAAACAGGGCTGTTTTGGTCAGTTTCAGGAACTTACATTAATAAGTTACTAATCGCAACTGGATAAGCCTATCCTGGAAGTTATGGGTGCAAGGCAGGGAATAATCCAGAATGGGGTGCCAACCCATCGCAGGGCACACTCACACCTCTAACTCCAATTCACCTCCAATTCAGCATGTATTTGGACTGTTGGGAGAACTCTGAGAACCTGGAGGAAATCCCATGACAACACGGGGAGAACGTGTGACCTCCACATACGTAGAGGGGGGCGACGGTGCAAGGCTAATCACCGAGTGATCGCGCTGGCCCAGAACACACGATGACAATAAATCATTCCGACATCATCAACCAGACAACACCCTGTTCTCCACACAGCTCTCCAAATATACCCTTTAGAACCCAAGCTGATGGCTGACCTGGCTCGCTCTGATGCGCTGTTTGGAGGGATAGACCAAAAACTTCTTAAGCAGGTCCACAGCCTGAGCCGAAGTGTCAGGCACAATCTCCTCCAGTGGAATGGGAGGGTTTTCTTTGAAGGTGATCTTGTTGTAATCTGGCAGCTCTGTAATCTCCTGCGCCAGGAAAGCAAGAACCTTACTTAGATTTAGAATATTTCTAGGCTCTATAACTCCACAATGAACTGGGGCAGATCTAGCCAGAGCAGGCTCCCCTCCCCGTTCTCTCCAATGCTGCAGCAGACAATGGTGTGGTGCATCGCGGCAACTGAAGCTCACCGGCCAGACATGTTGGTTGGGCGTTCCAAGAACCCTCAGTACACAACAGAGCTGCTCGATGTCATTCTCACCAGGGAACAAAGGGGAGTTATTCAGCAGCTCGCCAAAAATGCAGCCCACTGCCCTGGTGTACACAATACAGGACTGGGATTAGTAATGAAATGCACATATAGATGTAAGCAAAAATATGACTGTAACTGGTCAAACTATACATTTCTTTTAATGTCAAAGAAAGAGGAACTTAATATAAGTTCTGCACCATCCAAGCTGAAGCGCGACTTACATCTGCAGCTTTTAATGCACAGCTGCTATTTCCACCCAACAATGTTCTAACCCCTTATCCTGGTCAGGGTTGTGGGGGCCTGGAGCCAATCCCAGGCAGCCAGGACACAAGGCTGGGGTGCAGCCTGGAGGGGACCCCAGGCCATCACAGACCACACATACGCACACAATCATTCACTAGGGGCAACCTTGATGTGTCAGTTAGACTAACTGCATGCCTCGGGACTGCGGGAGGAAACAGAAAATACCAGGTGTAATCCAACATGGCACCAGCAGAACATGCAAACTCTCAATCCCACAGCCAGGGAGGTGAGATGACAGTGTTACCCAATGTGCCACTGAATTTAAAGATTGAAAAAGAAATAAAATGATAGATATGTAACATGTACAATATTGTAGACACCCCATTAATCAGTATTAATCACTTTGTATCACTGCCTTAGGCAGATATTACAGCTTCAAAATCGTTCTAGTATCCAAGAAAAGTCTTTATTTTTACCTTAAGATTTTTTTTTGCACTCTTCCTTGAATAACTTTTCTAGCCAAGAAAGATTCTTGGATCATCCTGTATGTGCTGCAGATTTACTTCATTGACGCTCTTGATGGGTTTCAGATAATCTTTCTACTTAAATTTTTTCAGTGACTTTGGGACATTGTTTTTGAAGACTTCTGGGTATTAAATTGAATCCATTCTTCCTTCCATTCACACCATACTATATGCTATACAATGGTTATGCATAACATGCTATGCGATGGTTATGATGAACAAGTAAAATTTTTCCTTAGTTAGTACTTTGTTTTAAAAGGTTCCAGTGTTTTGTCCACTTAAAACAGACTTTAAGGAATACCTGTTTCATGCACATATGTTTTCAGTAGGCAACACTAAGACCTGTTAGCTAGAGTCACGTTACGCAAGTATTTTGCATATTTAATACTTAAATTATATGTCTGACCAATTTATGTGAATTTCTGTGAAATGTTTTAGGTGTTTCAGATTCAGCTTTAATTTCAACAGTTCCCCTTAAATTCCATTTTTAACGATGTTTCTAACAATGCATATTCCATGCTGGAAGCAATTAAATCTTTTTAACTTCCCCTGTTTTGCAACAGTCAGTTATCTTTATTTTCAAGGCTTCAGCCAGCTGCTTGTTGGGGCCGATGGTCGCTGAGAGAAGGTGCAACATCCTAAGAGGTTAGAGGGGTCAGAGTATTTATTCAACCAAGGAAGTGTGAATCAGCAGGACGGGTGGCCAAACTTTTCCACATGTTCTATCTACTATCCCCCCCCAATCGCTTAAAGTCAGCAAATTAAAATAGCAAAAGTACTTTGAATTTTGGACCCTGCAGAGGTTACATTAACTTCTTCTCACTAAGGAACTGGCTGAATCAAGTCAAACTTTTACATACACCTGTAGACACATAGTTGGGGTTTTGAATATATGCTTCGTTCAAATAAATTCAAATTTGTGATTCTCGCAGGTATTTGCCAGTGACTCACAGGGTCAGGGTAAGTGCACTGTCACCCCCTGCTGCAGCATAGAGAGCAAATAATGCTCCTACTTTCACTTACAAGTCATGAGGCCATTCTTATGAAATTATCTGACCTAAAAAATAAAAGTACAGTATATAAAGTCCATAAAACTAAGTGAAAGAACAAGCGGATCATCCCCTAACATTTGTTTACCACATAGTACCTAATATCAACAGATACGGCTCCATCTCATACAGTCTCCTTTCATTCCGTGTCAATTCTGCTCTCTGCTCCTCATCTTATTGCTAACTAGAGGTCAAGAAACATCACAATAGACTCCAAGGCTTATTTTATAGGCAGGACTGCAGGAACATACCAGAGATCCACACCCTCATCGTACTTCCGGGCACCGTAGAGGAGCTCCGGTGCTCGGTACCATCTGAGGAACAGGGGAAGGATGGGAATCAGCTCTGTTTCTTTAATAGGGGTATTTATATGCGACCGTAAAAAATACACATACACTTCCAGACAATTGACAAGTTTTGTCATATATTTTGCATATCCTGTTGTTTGGCAGGATCATACAAATAATGTTGTTTTTAAAGAGATTGTAACTCATTATCCATTAAAAATATAGCATCGCGCATGAAGACAAAATATCAACTAGCAGGCAAAGCTCCCCTAACCCATGGTGCTTGTGTACCTGGTGGCCACCTGGTGACTGTAGAGCCGCTCGCTGTCATTGGAGAAGAGTCTGGCTAGGCCAAAGTCTGCAATCTTGAGGTGGCCAGTGGAACTGATGAGAAGGTTAGCTGGTTTCAGATCCTGCAAGGAGAAGGCCTCTTAGGCTGTACTTATACTAGGTGACGTGTACCATGCTTGAGCACGTTTGACCCCTCAAGTTCAGCTTATTTGACTAGTGTGATCGGTCTGTACTGTACCATGGCACAAAAGGCTTACTTCACAACCCAAAAGACCTATGAGTCCTATTAAGGCACTCAAATTTTGTTTATGTACCCGAATTCCATCCATCCATTTCTGAAAGCACTTGTCCTACTCAGGGTTGTGGGTGGTCTGAAGCCTATCACAGAAGTTATGGGCGTAAGGGAGGGAACAACTCAGGATGGGGCACCAACCAATTGCAGGGCACACACACAGGCAATTTGGTAACTCCGATTAGCCTCACCATGTTTTTGGACTGTGGGGGAAACCAGAGTACCTTGAGGAAACCCCACTATACCATGGGGAGAACATGCAAACTCCGTACACATGTAGCGATGGCAAAGGCTGGAACCTTGGTCCTAGAGGTGTGAGGCAACAGTGCTAACCACTGCACCACCATGCCACCCAGTGCCTGACTTAATATTGTTAAATAAACAAATAAAACACAGGCATAATTAATGCATTAGGTAAATAAATTTAAAACATGTATAAAAATAACATTTCAGAGTTAGTCTCACCCGGTGCATGATAGAATTTTCATGGCAAAAAGCCACCCCCTTCAGAAGCATCAGCATATAACCTTTGACCTGGGACTCAGTGAGGGGTTGCTGGGAGTTACGTATGACCTCAGAAAGGTCTGACAGCATGTACTCAAATACTAAGACAAAGCCTGTGCCGTGAGGGAACACATTTTTCAGCTTGACCACCTGAGAGGGAAGAAGGAAAACCAGGTTGACCAAAACTACCCTTTACATGAAATAACTTGCTTTACGTAATAAATATTTCTTCGAATTGGAATAAAGATTCACATATTGGTTGTCTTCAATTTCTTGCAAAGCCTTGATCTCACGGAGAGCCTGGTTAGGGATTCCATCTTCAAGCTTTCGAAGGGCCACTTTCTTCAGGGCTACAGTCTCTCCTGTCTACAGAAAAACTTAAAAAGTTATCTTTTTCCTTGAGTCTACTTTGCCTCAAGATAGGAGAAACATATTTAACTCTCTGTGAAATGCAGCCATTTTAAAATATTTTTTTCATTTAATTCACTAGGAACCTTAATTTATTTTTCTTATGATGAATATGCGAACCATATGAATGGTACGTTTGATTTAGTACTGTATTGGATTAGCCATTATAATGGTCTTAGCTAGGCAAATTATTCAAGGGTTTAAAAACATGACGCCTTGATTATTACGTTTTGAAAGCATACAGTTAAATCCAAAACATTTTAGCAATACGGCAATTTAATTGTACTCAGTACTTGTTCCAGTACAAATCACAATAAGCATTTTGAATCCTTTCTATACTGCCAGCCAACTTTTGCTTCATTACGCTAACGTTTCGGGAAGATGTAACACGGCGTTACTTCACAACTGCTATGAGACGGAAAACATCTCCCTGCTTTTTTGAGTCCTCATTTTAGCGCTCTAAAGCAACAGGATCGCAGCAAAAGCAGCGCTAGTACGGTTACATTAGCTAAGAGACAGGGGATTTAAGGAGGATCGCTCAAGCGCCGTGTTGCTGGTGACCTTAACTTTCGCAGGTAATTTGTCAATGTATAATTGTATTCGTTACCTCGATGTGCTTCGCTTTAAAAACAATTCCATGGGCTCCTTCTCCAATCCTCCCCAAAATACTGTACTGGTCCATCATTAAATAGATAGCTAAGCGGCTAATATCCACCTTCAAATCTTAAGCATAATTACTAAATGAGCTACGCCAAGCAAAGCTTTGCTATTCGTAATGTTAGCGTTTGTTACCTACAGATGCCTAGATGCCGTTTCCATAGTTACAGCTACTTACAAACAAACCCTTCCTATACTTCCTAACCTTTCGGCTTGGATTCTTCCTCTACGCTTATCGGTTACAAGCGCTTACATCTATTTGCTCAGTGCTACCACCTACCGTGCAATTATAGCTAACTGGATACTCTAATAGTTATCAGGTTTAAACAAACTCAGCATTCTCCATAAATCAAACCCGCATTGTTCGGTTAAGTACTGTGCACCTATCATATGAATAATCAATAAAAATTAAATATTAAGGTTGTATAGGAGCTGCGATTCTTTATGAAACCAGGCTCAGTAGCAAATCTGGCTACTCAGACCCCACACCTAATTTAGATCTAGCGTTTTTAAATAATACATAAACGTATCTCTTTGAGCAACTGGGTGCTAACATCTTTATCTGTTCATATACAATACACGTAAATCTGTATTTTAAAATAATCAAACCAAGATATTGAGATGCAGGAGGGGGGAGTGCTATCAAACTGTATTAAGAGTTTAGCTTCCATTTGAAGGATTTTTATGAAATTCCTTGTCAGTTTTAACTGGATCACAACTTTTGCCTACCTATGTAGCAGTACTGGACAGGTGTTGTATGCTCTTTCCTAACTATTCAATGTGGCGCAATAATTTTTTAACAAGCAAAGATGCGATTTTCCCTGTTATTCAGAAGTCACTTCTTCCATCTATCCTTGGCCACACCCCTCAGGATTTCACTTGGCAGCTGCCAGTGAGTACTCACTGCATGGCCATCGGTTGTTGCTCCAATTAGGGAGTATCACTTCATCACAGCAGTGACAGAATGAAGATGCTCCATCAGCTGGAGTCTGTCTTCAGATCCTCTGTGAGAACTGCCCCAGATCCATAATCCATACCTCTTACAAGCTATTCATATAAAAATGTTTTAACAAATTTCTGCACCACGTCTTACAACACAGGGTTAACGGACACGTCAGTGTGTGATACGGAATACATCTATCAAGCTAATGCGATGATACCGGAGGCTGCAGGAACATAAATTAGGAAGAACACTTATACAAGAACACTTGAGTAATATTGCTTGAAATACACTATAAACCAAAAACATAGTTCCCAAACCAAAGGCCAAGAAAGAACAGTTTACAAGGGGCACCCAATGACCCCAACACTCCTCCATACTTGTTTTAAGTTAAGTTGGCAGTGACATTTCGCTTCCTAGCTATTCTACCACATATGCAGTAGCACACCACTAGCAGCAGGAGTGGAAAGAAAGCACAGGAAACACATTCAGTGTTGGCTGTTTTTATTAATCCATTGTATTTATACAAATTCCGTATACCAGACACATTTTAAACAAACTACCTTCACACGAGAACCAAACTTTTTCTGACATTTGATAACATCTCTGCCAACTTAACTTATGTACACTACAGGGCAGGGATTACATAGCTGACGACTGACAAGCTGCAAAAACACTGACCATTCAAAGTCGGGGAAAAAGGACACTTCTGTAGCACAGCACAGGAACAAAATGGGCCTATGTTTATGGTTTTATTCATCCTTCAGTTAAATCAGAAATGTTCAGGTGTCAGTACCATAACTTTATGCTTGAATCCAAGTCCCTACTTTCAGTTGGAATGACACAAAAAAAACGAGATGAGAGACAAGGGCACAAACACGTAGATTCTAACTGTGGAATTAACTTTCATTGGCCAATGGTGAGAGGTTCTAAAGATGAAGATAAATTACTGTCAACAAGCATTAACAGATAACACCTTTCCTCTGCTCCTGGATTTGAAAACTGCAAATTAGCCATAAAGAAATTATATATATTAATGACTTTAGCAGAAATTCATAAATCAGTGAAAGCAAATACTGATATTTTATAAAGTTAATTCATGACAAAACTGCCCTCTCAACACATTGACCTACACTGGAAACGAAATTCAGAAATGATAGGCGTAACTGAGAGAGAATACATTTCTGCGTTTTATGTCGACAAAAGCGATCGAGATGACCAACATGTAAAAACGTCTTACAGATAACTGTATATAAAAGAGCCAAAATGTTCTTGCTATATGAAGCAACTAATTTACAAGCGAGTCCAGAGTCTGGCCAAGTCAAACATCTTCTTTTAATCCCCCTTTCATACTGCCAAAAATCTTTCTGGTAACATTTTGATAAACTTTATCCCTTCTAATTACCTGTAAGAGAAACTCCTACATGCATTCTGCATTTCCAGAGGTCATTGTTTTAATGAATTTTGGGAAGAGACAAAAAATGTAAGAAAATTTTAAAGATCCAAAAAAAAAAAAAATCCTCTACTGAAGCCATTATCAAGTGGGAAACTGCATGAAAGGAAGAGAGAATGTGTATGATTTTTCCTGCGAGAGTCCTTTCATATCATTTGTTTACACACAAATAGGATACTTTTGCAATGTTCTGAAAGTAAACAAGAACTCTCATCTCGCCCTCTGGGTTTTCAGATCCGTGTCTTTTGCCCTCTTTGAAATGAATTAAACATATGCCCCATTACATTGTATACAACAAGACTAACAATGGATCAAACCAGGATTTTAAAAAAAGTATATTATATATATATATAATTTTGTGACTCCTTCAGTTCAGCCTTGTCAGCTCCTACACACACATGGAGTATATAGACCATTGGGGAACAAAACAGTAAAAGAAAGAATGGGATTTAAAACTGCTCTCTGAAACACACAGAAAAAGTACTTAAAAAAAATACAAAAATAAACACGCAGAACATCTGCATCACTGCTTGCTAATTTAGATTTTTTTCCACTCTTTTTCTTTTTAATTTTTTTTTTTTTTTTTTTTTTTTACAAGATTTGCTTCACACTGTAGGTCTAAGCATAGACCAAGTCCATCTCCTCAAAAGCACCACAGTTCATTTCTCTTCCATGTCTTAAGATCAACCCCCAGTCTGCACTTTGCATTCTGTAAGGTACAAGCACACAGTGATGCAAAAGAACGATTGGATGTGAGTCCGGGTTCACGTCAATCCACATCTCCTTTCAAGATGAAGCTTTTATCCCCTTTGAGAGCAAGTGCCGTCTGTTTTCTGGTTTATCTATATACCACTTGAAGATTACGTCCCACACATCCTCCTTAAATCTTTAGTCACAATCTCCCAGTTAAAATTGGCTTTTTGAAAAAGGCTAACGGACTACAGAGAGTTGTTATTGTTTCTATTCATTGTTCTTTAAAACAAAGATGCGGGAAGGAGAGGCAACAAAATGGGTAAAAAGCAACTAAATACCTGCCTGAATGTTGCATTTTCGGTTTAGCAGGATGCCAGAGGAAAAAAAAGCAGAAAAGTAAATGTGCTTTTCTTTTGTTTCACTGAAGTAGGATCATCAATAATGGAATAAAAAATATATACACAGATTGAGATAAGGCGTTCATGGCACCACCGAGCTGTGACTGGGTCGTTTTTTTCCAAAGATTTTATTGTGTTTTTTTTCCCCGCTGTAGTCTGACCCCAGTGATGTGGTCCTGTCTCATTTCAGTAAAGGGTGTGGTGCAGGGGGCCTGGTGGAGGATGATCAAAAGGTGACTTCAATCTTATTACTGGTCAGGAAGAAGAGGACGGGGATACGAGCTCACTGGTCAGACCTGGCCTTCTTTGGACCAGCACCTTTCCTGTGGTGAAAGATGGAATCACATGAGTGAGAGGTAAAGCCAGCAAGCTGCTGAGCTCTACTTAGCTGAATCTGTAATTAATCACTGTAGGAGCAGCCAAAGGGGGTGCACATGCTTACTTCCCAAATTATATTTCTAAAAGATGAGCGATTCCAAGGGACTCACATGTCAGATGAGACCGGCCTTTTCGTGGCAGGTTTAGCAGAAGCGGCATCTTTACTGGACTCTGAAGAAATGAGAGCAATTAGAGAAATTGGGATATTTGTAGGGTGACCAGATAATCCATGACAGGGCGGATACTGAGCTAGGACAAGAACTGTGAACTACCATTTCAATTAAGACGACCTGGATTTCACTTAAACCCAGTTCTTTCTGTGTGATGATTGGTCAGTTTCCTATAACCATGCAAGTGTCACTAATGTTAATGTGAAACACCTGGATGAGCCTCTGAATCAAGGAAACTGCAGTTCATGTGCTTTGACTGGTTTATTTAGCCAAGCACCGGAGCCTCAGTTTTAAAAGTAGTTTGTAAAGTTGACATGGCTTATCTTGTCACCCTAGATATATGTACAGTGAAAGGTCCACATTCTAATACGCATCATTCCCAAAAGTCCAAGAGATTAAGGCAATAAGACTCTTTCAAAGGGCCCTCCTGCAAAAGACTGCCAGCTTCTCTCAGTAATCAACTGAGCAGCTTTAGGGGCTCTGCCTACCTTGCAGCCACCGGACCTGCGTGGCTGGGCCGTAGCCCTTCTCGTTGCGTGCAGCGATGCGGAAGATGATTGCTGGCTTGGTGGTGTAGTCGATGTGGGCGTTGGAGAGGCTGGACGTCTGTACGAGACACGCGGGGCTGGGGCCGCAGTAAACGCGCATGAACGCCAGCTGTGCTGGGGCCGAGGCCTTGGGCTCTCCCGCCTGCGTGCTCTGGATGGCCAAGTACACCGAGTACTCAATGATCTTTCCTGACGTCACCGAGGGGGGCTCCCAGGTCAGGTGAGCACCATCTGGGCTCTGGGTGATGGGACAGATGGTGTTTGGTTAAGCCTGATGGCCCATCGGGGGATACAGCAGAACACGTCTGCGTGCTCCTCGGCCTTACCTTGCTTATCTTGATGGCACAGGGTGCTCCTGGGAAGCCTGGCAGGCAGGTCTTAAAGGCGGAAATCTCAGAAAAGGCCCCGCGGCCACAGGCGTTGATGCCCGAGACGCGGAACTTGTATGCGGTGCCGGGCTGAAGGTCCATCTTCTTCATTTGGCTGTAATCCGGGACAGCTCCCGAATCATCCTGACACACACAAGCCTGCATGTGAGCACCACCACACTGAGCATCCATCGTCCCCTTTCCACACCACCATTACAACTGACTTACATCGGTAGCAGGTGCATCATCTGCTGGCACAAAGTAGTGGGTGACCAACATGTTTGTGACCTTGACAATCCCAACATCAAACCACTGGTTCTCCTTCTTCACTGGGGCCTTCACAACGGCAGGTGAGGGACTCTGCTTCTAAAAGGTGTCGAAACACAATGTCCAGTTAGCCACATGTGCTAAACTGCTATGATGCTGGCTGGAAAATGGCAGAGGGGGCATTTCGAAGTTTGTAGTAGAGCATATGCAGGTACAAGGGCTGTTCCCCACACTGACCCCTGCTGCAGACTCGATGCCATTGGCCACCTCAGCCAGTGCAGTCGCTGCCTGGATCTTAGCTGGACTGGCCGCAACCAGGGGTTGTGAAGGTGCAAAGGTGCTTGAGGGGGCCAGACCTGCAGGGGCGATTACTTATCAGCACCCGACACAAAACGTGGATGTTTTTCTAAACACTGGCCACCACACCGAACTCGCATGGACACTCACTCTCAGCTGGAGTGCAGGGCAGCAGCCGGGCCACTGCACTGGAGACTGCAGCTGCCATGTCGCTGTGCCCGTTGCTCTCAGACGCCGGGTCGTTGAGGCTGTCCGCGGGGGCCAGACCCTCCGTGGGCAGAGCAGCAGCCTGGGCACTTAGCTGCTGCTGCTGCTGAGCGCTCACTGCGATGACCTGGACCTGGGCCTGGGCCTGTGCTTGAGCCTGGGCCTGTGCTTGAGCCTGAGCATGAGCTTGAGCCTGTGCTTGAGCCTGAGCCTGTGCTTGAGCCTGAGCCTGTGCTTGAGCCTGAGCCTGTGCTTGAGCCTGAGCCTGTGCTTGAGCCTGAGCTTGAGCCTGGGCCTGTGCCTCCTGTAGCTGCTGCTGCTGCTGGACCAGGGCAGCCAGCTCCTGCTGCGTCAGCACAATGGGGATGGTGGTGGTCTGCTGGCCATCATGGCTGGAGTCCCCTTCACCTGGCAGTGTGAGAGAATCCAAATGAATGGCTCCCACAATTCAGCACAGACGCAGCGCAGCAGTTGCCCGGTGCCCTGTACTCACTCATGACTGCCTGCTGCGCGGCCTGCAGAACGGCCTGAATGGCCAGCGCCTGGGCCTCCTCGGTGGCTGCGGCCTGGGCAGCGGCTTCAGCGGCCGCGGTCACCGCTAGCTCCTCGGGGGTGAGGCCCGTCACCATTAGCGTGGTGGGCTGCCCTTCGGACATCAGCTCCTGGGGCAGGGTCAGGGTCTGCGCATCCGCCGAGGCTCCCGCCTCCTCCGCCGCTGGCTCCAGCTGCTTCCCGGCAGAGCGAGGGACAGATTGAGAGACGAACAGAGGAGGCCATTTTCTGCAGCTACATTTCAGTTCAGCAGGGTCTGTATGAATTAATTACCGCTCTACTTCATTACTACGGGGATGGCTGTCTCGTTAAGAGCACTAGCTGCTTGGCGATAAAGCGGCAGTACCTCTGCCTGCTCCTCCTGGCCCTGCTGAGTCTCCATGGCCATTGGCAGCTGGTCCACTTCAGCCTGCAGCACGGCGGCTGCCTCCGCCTCGGCCACGCCTACTGACTCATCTTCCATGGATATCACCCCGACAACGGCGTCCTCGCCCAGCCCGGCCTGACACTCAGTCTGCATCGGCTCCCCTTCCTCCTCCGGGACGGCAGCGGCGGCCTCTAAGGACCCCTCCTGGGCCTGCTCGGCCATCAGGGCTTCCTCCTCTGGCTGTGGCTGCTCTGGGGCGGGCTCGCCCGAGGCCTCTTCACAGGGAATGCCGGATGCCTCAGTGATGGAGGCGATGGTCTGGAGGGATGGACCAAAGTGAGTAAATAACACTTAATTTTTAAGTGGACAAAATGTCTGCTATGCCTCAATTTAGGGGTTAATCCTGGGCAATTGAGACCCAAAAGGCTGTGTGTTCAGAGGGCCCAGCCTGACCACAAGGGGGCAGCAATTTCCTATTTTTAAAAAGCTGACCACCTTGTGTTTTTTCCCCCCCCCCACATAACACTGGCTGAAGTGGAAGCGAGACAGTTACAGTGCATCTCACAGTACTTAAATGTGGTGCAGCTTCAGGTCTTACAGGTACTGAAGGTCCGGGTGCAGGAGTGGCGTGAGTCACGGTTGTGATGGCCCGGCTCTGAGATACCGTAGCACTGGCTGCTTCAGAGAGCAGTGCAGGAGAGGAAGATGACTCAGGATTGGAGCCATCATCTCCTTCTGCTGTCCCACTACTCTGCTGAGCTAGAAGACCATACAAGTGCAGAGAAAGCATGTTAGATATCAATGTTCTAATATGAAACACACGTACTTACGAGGTCCATGTTCAGTTCCACATCCAGCATACCAGCTATTCCAGCACAACTTAAATATTAGTTAGATCCCAAACACTGAGGTACTACAGAAGCTTGACTTGGGGGGGGTCAGTTTCAAATTTTATGTCACCTAGGTCAGCCAGCTGGACCACAGCTTGAGCATGAGTGCTGTGGGGTGCCAGTAGACCCATTTACAGTCAAACTTTCTGCTAGAGGGTAATGTTTTAATGTCCTCATTCATGATTTCAGAAATGCGGTACTTATTGACCTAATTAAAGTAGAAAGCAGCACATATCATTGACATTGTGGATTTAATCTGAATTGTTCACATTTCATCGGGAGGATTAATAGACACACCAATGGTTTTAGAGATGGGAGGTCAGAGCCTCGTAACCAAAGGCGAACACCCCGACTTTTTTTTTTTTTTTTTTGCTAAATTACCTGTGCTTTCTCCAGTGTCCATGCTGGATGTGGCCGTTGTGGCCGTGTTGGTGGTGCCTGTCTCGTGGGTCTCACAGGGGGGGTTGGAGCACACCCTCTGCACCGTGCCAGTCTGGTTGGCACCCATGCTGGCAGAAGCAGTGGTGGCCGTGCTGGTGGTGCCCGTCTCGTGGGTCTCACAGGGGGGGTTGGAGCACACCCTCTGCACCGTGCCAGTCTGGGTGGCACCCATGCTGGCAGAAGCAGTGGTGGCCGTGTTGGTGGTGCCCGTCTCGTGGGTTTCACAGGGGGGGTTGGAGCACACCCTCTGCACCGTGCCAGTC